CTAATTATTACTAGACTATATTAGTGGCGAGCACCTACCGGTATTCCGGTTAAGTCGTACTGCTGCAACTGTAACTTTGGGTACAATCATACACAAACAGAAGTTCAAGTGCTAAATAAATTCATCCATCAATATCGTAGAAGTAATTTATGGGTTATGTTTTTCCTGAGTCACACAGTATTTGAGCATTTCTGTATTGCGTCATAGTCAAGTATATTTTTTAAGGCAGCAAAAAATAACATACAAAATAAAAGACTAATAAAAATTAAACACACATTTTTACTGTAGAAGGGAAGTCGCAGGGTATCAAAAACTGGTTATCAAGCGGCAAAACTTAAGATTCTAATATTTAATTTCATAGATATAGAATTAAAGTTCTCCGCGTACTGTTGGATTTGCGAGCAAGGCCTTGACAGTAACAAATAACCAGATTGATTTATGTGGTAAAAAGTTGTGCATACATTAAAGATTCGACGGCTTCAGCCTATAAAGTTATTTGCGGTGTCGGTCTCGTAAGAACATGGAATTCAATCACGGAAAACGAATTTTTGAGTTAAAAAAAAGACGACCTAACGAACGTGGTAGATCGCTATCAGCTAGAAAGTATGTTATCATTCGTTATCGTTATGCTGCGACGTACAGTTCGGTAATAGCTGGGAGTGTTTGAATAGAACAGGGGTTTCCTTTTTTTTAAAATACATTCTCCCTCCCAATTTACCCCCCCCCCCCCCCCCCCCCCCAAATTATCAGAGAAAAATCTCACACATTGCTGCCTTCAATTAAAACTCAATTTTGTGATAGTAACAGAACATTGCGATACAGAACGTAAACGACATAGGAAGGTAGAATGCTTTTGTTGATTCATTTTTACAGCATTTAAACGAGGAAACAATAAAACTTTCATATTAAATGCAATATGTAAAATATTCAATATTTTACAATATTAAACTTAACTAAAATATGCAATGTATTAGTTATGTTCAACACAATTCAGCTAATTTTCGGGGCGCACTTAGCAAATCGGCGTCCCTTAGAGGACCGCTGCGGTATCGGAATGTTGCCCAGTCTTCGATAGATCCTTAGCGGAGTGTTACACTTTGTTTTTGTACAGTTTGAAGAGTTCATGGTAAGGTGTACATAATTATATGTTGCAACAATATTAAAATCAATCGATAAAATTTTGTTATCACACGAAATTACGTTCCAAAGTACAATTTATAAACCGCTCAGAAAATTCACGCCGAAAACCGACGACTCGATGTTGAAGAAAGGGTTTCTCAACCGCGAACCACCGGGGTTAGTTTGGCCTGCTGTGGGGGTAAACTTCGCGAGTAAGAAAGTATATGACCAAACGTGGTCGTTTACAGTAATCAAAAATCTGCGATATCGCCCCGAAGTATCGGGTACCATGCCACAAAAATAAAATAATTGCCTACTTCAGTCCCTACTGGAAACATGAAAGTTTGGGTGAAATATCAGCTTCCGTAGGGCTTAGCAAAAATATGAAATATAGGTAATAGAGTAGAAATCAGAGAAGATTTTAAAACATAAGTATAAGTATAAAACATCGCTATTCCTCAAATACTAAAAATTACCATTTAATACATTAGTTCCGGAGAAAATCTATATTTTTCGAATAACAAGCAAAACGATTCATTTCGCGTTCAATAAATAAACGAACTGTCAGACGTGGTCGATCATTATCAGCTAAAATAATATTTTTGAACACGGAATTCTTCTCTATTATGACCGCAGTATGGTAGGTCACGCTCGAGCTGGAATTGACGTAGATTTGGAATATTGCAGTCAGAGTCGAATGGTGTAAGTGAAATGGCTCGACTCGTACTCAACAGGGAAACTTAACATAACACTTATTGGACAACCATGTCCATACGACGAAGATAGCTTCACTTACGTGACTGTGACGCAGCAGTGACGTAATTATTTCGTCAAACCAAAAAACATTATGATGATACAACACATATTACAGTTTTTGGTAGATGACTGGGTGGTAACGATGACGTAGTCAGAAATGACGTTTACAAATATTAGCACGGCCCGTCAGAAGTACTTGTGATACTGAGCTATAACTAGGCCAATGTTACCATTTTATGACACTCGAACGGTGTAAGCAAAATGGTCGGACTCGAATGTAGAAACAGATTTGGGCGAGTCTGTGAAATAAAAGATATTCTGCTGAACTGCCATTGTCTAATGTTCTGCTAAAAAATCAGGCGTGCATAACTTGTTTCCTAAGTTGGAAAATTTTTGCTTCTACCAACCTTTTTCTCTTTAAATTGAAACTGCTATTAATCAAAATCACTAACTGACAGATAATCTTGGAACGTGCGGACGATCAGCTATCCAAACAACTTTCAGGCTCCGGTAGAATTTGTTATCTCACAAAGAATAATAAACATTGATTATGAAGTAATAATCACAAATAAAGCTTTAAGTTAAAGGTTGCCACCAATTTGTACCGGTAATGAAGATTTTATTTTAGGATTTTGGGAGAAATTAATCTTTATTCAAATTTTAACCCGATAAGCCAGATCGGAATCTTTTGAGTGGGCGTTTTGAGTTTTGACATACCACAGTTGCATTTCGTAGACGAGTTGGACCTATGGATCGTTTTTCCAAATTATTATTGCTGTAATTGAAGTATGTTCCCAGATTTTCATTTTAGAGGGAAGGGCGGTTAAGAAAGTTAGGAGGTGGTAAATATTTTGCTATAGGCGATGACAGTATTTGTAACTTATAAAAATGTATTTAACAGATCACATACACTGATAAATATTTGTTCTTTGGATATTTTGATACAATTATTAAAGTTTGGTATCACATCTTGGAATCAGGGCGGGTGTTCAAAAAGTGGCTTTTCCCACAACTAATGAGCCAATCAATCATTTATTTTGGTTCTCTGACATAAACAATACAAAAAGAAGACAGACAAACAAATGCAGAGATACCGGGGAGACGGGCATCACTTAAATAAAGTAATTAATTGAATGCAATAAACTTATACCTTTTAAATTAAAATGTGAGACTTGTATGTGTAACACACCAGTGCTTTTCCTACAAAAACATGGGACAAAGAACACTTCCTGACGCGGTGATGCTGTAGGTCTAGTTCAATTTCATTGCAAAAACAACAAAGTGACAAAAAATTGTTACTAGAAAAACAAGCTCGGTAAATAGATTGAATGTTCCATAGGAATCAATCAACTTTTCAGAACTTGAAAATGGACGAAGTCACTTGAAGGCTATTACTTTTATTTTTCCAGTTTTGAATCCAGCGAAACCAGATATTTCCCCTACTTTTTCTGGCTTCCTTGAAGCACGGCCCCATTTACATATGACATTCCGTACAATTCTTATATCATGTGGCTAGTATTAAGTAGGCTATGGTCAATGAAGACAGCCGGGATGGCTTTAAATTTAGGCCTATGTAGTAAAATCGGAAACTGTAAAGTTACAAGATCACAGCTAAGGGGTCGTGTATTTGGAGGTGTATCGCTTTGAAGTCAAAAAAATGAACAAAAAAAATATGGTAACCCTAACCATACGCAAAGATTTTTATTTAAACTTGAATGCTATTTGAGCATTTATTGGGCACGAAATGGACAATCACGTCAATACAAGAAAGATGGGTGGCGATAGTTACGTGATTGTGACGCAACAGTGAAGAATTTATTGAATAACGTAGTCAGGAATGATTTATGCAAAAGTAGGTTTGCGCCCCACCGTTCAGGTGTACTTATGATACTAAACTATACTAAAGCTAGGTACAGCAGCCGTTCCATAATTCCAACTTCGTTCAGAATATGGTTTTGGGGGAAAGTATTTCGTCTTGGTCTTCGTGTTCACATATTTGATCGCTTTCTTGTTATTTGCCGTGTACTCGTGGCAATATGGTGAAATAAATACGACCTGACAAAATCGTCTATTTTATTTATGCGATAACATCTTCATTTGACATATGTGTTTGATTTGTTTATTTTCACAGCTTGTAAGAATGGCTTGGTTTGATGAAATGTGATAAGGAGAAGACAAAAGAAGAGTATGTCAAATAGTTTTCCAATTAAAATTTTCCGTCAAAAATAACGTCATAATAAACCCGATTGTTACATTGTGCTTCTTGTTATTATATAAACGTTAGCCTCGATGTTGGACTAGCTTTTGTAAATAAACTGTTTTCTATTCATAGTCTTTCACATTGATCCTCCGGCCCAGTAAAGTCTATAACGTGTAACTGGCCCATTCATAAAAGCAATTGCCCACCCCTGGTGTAGACTCTCAGACAGGCTTACAAAAATCAATGAAAATTAAGATTTTGTGATGAAAACGGACTTACAATTCAATTAAATACCAAATCACGATTAGCGCGGAAAGTGCGTGTATATTGCTGCTGCATAAGTTGTAGAAGCCGAACGCTAACCCTGGTGAAAAAAACACTGTTTTGCGTGAATACAATTGAATTGATCACACTCATTGAAAAGAGAAATCTGATTCAGGTATTTCATTAGGTTGTGTAAGAAATATAAAAAAATAATCGAAGAACAAAACAAAAACTTAATTTTCAATTATTATCCCCACCTCTACACAGATCGGCATCCGCGCAATTCCTTCCGCGTAGTTTTCGCAATAGTTGGACCCAGCTTTTCACGTATTGAACGTTGGTACAAATGGCGACTGCGGGAAAAGAAAATGGCGCTAACTCTCTACCATCGCCACGTGGATAAATAACGAGCTCGATGAGTTGTTTTCTGTAAATTGTGCATTTGAAATCCTATCTGATCATGTAGAAGTAGAAGTTTATTTTGAGAAATGTTTGAAAACATATAAATGATATTTTAACAAAAACATGAGAAAATACTAAATTATCTTTCACCGTTCATGTTTCCATACAAGTTGTACAAGTGGAATCATGCTTTAAAGCCCCGTTACGGTTGACTACCCCGCCATAGTGCACCGTTTTGTCGACTTTTCTCTGTAGTAGTCTATGTTTCTCTCCAGGCTGCATTTGTTCGAATAATATTAGCAATATCGGTGAAATAAATGATTTTGAACGATGACGATCTGTGGAATACCGGGATGCAACTACGTAAGAAAAACTGGAGGAAGGTAAAGCCGTGAATAAAAGACTTTTCCATCACTTCAGCACCTATTTGCTGTATTTGACAGTACGGTACCGTTACGGTACCATTATAGGCTATTCCGATTCGGGTCTCGTTCCTAACGTACTACTAGTGGGCGTAGCATAACATAATTGTGACGTTTTTGGATGACGCAGTAAGGTGGGGGTGAGAATTAACATATTCAAAAATTGTCATGCTACTCCCACTTGAAGTACGGTACTTCAGGTACGGTTCGCCGGTGTGGCGCATCGTGCCGCATCGTGCTAAGCATTAGGAATATGCTCACCACCGCATCTCTGATTACCCCTCGTGGGATCGCAGGTTCGAATCCCATGCGGGGTTGATCATGTGCGAAAAGGATTGCTGGACTCCTCGCCGCCGTAGGGTGGTTCACGTAACCGCTGGTCAGTTACGGCTTCCTAGACCATCAAGTCCATGCTTTCGAAAACAAATAACTAACTAATTCCATACCCGACATAGAATGGTATATAGACGAGAGGCTGTGGTTCGTCATATGGTTAAGTCGTCTTATCGGTTTTCCTCTCCCCCGGGATAAATATGTAAATCCTATCCTACCTACTTTAGGTACGAAACTACACTAGACCTTGCTATTCATGTGTTTTCACAATGAGCATGTCGAAAGCCTCATTTAAAGTTTTCTATATTCTGATATTTCTATCCTGTGTGTTGTCATATGCTTTTTTATAAATCCTAACCTGTCATATGTTGCACGATGACGAAGTTATAAAATAAAAATTTTCTCTAAGGTCCATGTTCCGCATTCGTCGACCGGACTTGGCAAGAACTCCGGGCGAAAGAAAACATCGCCAAAGGCTGACTAATGTTATGCTCTCGATTCGGGATTTCACCAAGGGCGATAACATCAAGGATTTGATCCACAAAGAAGCGTAAGATACTTTACTACCTAAATACCAGTATACGGTACTTCACATACAATTTGCATATTTATCCCGGGTGGTAGGGCAGTAGCCAGGGCAGCATCACACCGTTTAGAGACACTTAACATTTTAGTGCCCTATAGATAAAAAGGTATTCCCATAGTATGTGAACCAAGATGGCGGGCACTTGGAAGTAGTACGTGTACCAGGTTAGGATTAGGACATAATTTTATTCCAGTTTTCCCTATTTTAATTCTATTACGAGTTTGGGGACTAACCAAGTGACACCCATAAATTTGTACCTGAAATTATGACCTAACCCTAACCTGTTACACCTACTACGTTCCGGTGTCTGCCATCTTGGTTCACATACTACAGGAGTACTACTATTTGATAGCCAATTTAGGATTAAATTTAATGTTTTTTTTTCATTTTCTAAAAAGATGATATACACGCAAACATTGATAAAGATCAATTAAAGATTCTACTTGATAACTTTAATTTAACTGGGCAAATATTGAGGCCTGTATCACCTCACCAATCCAAAGGCTTGGCGGTGTGCCGCATCGTGCTAAGCGTTAGGAATACGCTCGCCACCGCATCTCTGATTACCCTTCGTAGGATCGCAATTCCAATTCTATGCGGAGATGATCATGTGCGAGAGGATTGCTGGACTCATCGCCGCTGTAGGGTGCTTTACGTAACCGCTGGTCGGTTACGGCTTTCTCCATCATCAAGTCCATGCTTCCGAAAACAATAACTGGCTAACTAATCCCATAACCGACCTGGACCGGTAACCGGACGAGAGGACGTGGTTCGCCATATGATTAAGCCGTCTTATCGGCTTTCCTCTCCTCCGGGATAAATATGTAAATCCTATCCTATCCAAAGTGTTTCAATACACAATAGAAACCACGTCTACTGTAGTTATTTGATATGTCATATTATAAGAGGCCATTTTTTTTTTGAACAAACTTCCTGGTTTAAATCCAATGCCCACCACCTCACCTTCCATGAAAGAGCCATTTGGCACCCTTTCCTACAAACTCAAACCCACTCGCAGTCACAACATATACTCTAATGTGAGTGGCCGTTAAAACTCCTGGAAAACCACTTATGATGCAATAATCTACTAAGAAGAAGCCGAATAAATAAGGAAAGGTGCAATAATTCAGTTCACAGCGAAATGATAAAAAGAGTTTGTTTTGACAAATTTGAATCACTTTATTGTGACCTATTTTTCCTGCTCTCGACTTATACCTACTATGATGTGTAATTAGCGAGTAGTAATCAAAAATCTGCTGTAGCCACTTCGATTCACGGATGCCAGATTTCTGAGAACAAAGAGTCACTGGTTGCCGATCGCTGGTTCAGAGCCGTGCTAGGAGTGAAAGGTATGGGAAGCCTTGCATTAAAAATATTTGCTTTTCTATTATTTCAGTTGCTGTATTTGTGATAATCATTTTGCAAAAGAAGATATTTTGGATTACGGAATGAAAATGTCGCTTAGGCTCGGAGCGATGCCAACAAAAAATATGCCCTTTCCACAATGTAGCGTACCAGGATGTCATCACCCAAAGTAAGCTTTTGAATTTTTTAGGGAAAATTGCTCAGAGCAAAGTAACGCACATTACCTTAGGTTCTCATTTGCATTTTGTCCAGGTGATTGTCATTCCAGAATAACTGTACTCTAATCATATTTCATATCCACTAATGACAGTACAGTAGGATGGTATGGCATTGTGGGTAAAACTACTAAAGCATGCTTTCTGGGTATAAATACTGCCATGCTGTCTACAGGTTGACATTGTTTGACCTGAGTCTAATTTACCTTTACTTCTTTTTATACGAATACATCCTTTAGTGATGCAATATTACCAGGTCCTGTTGTAACAATAGGAAAATAGGTCACCCAGTACTTCGGTATGACAGAGGCAACATTATTCATTTGTTATTTCAAGTGCTTGAACTGTTTATGTCAAGTATTACTTGTGTTCAATAAAACATTTTTTACACCAACAAACAATGCGCACTCACTCAGAAGCAAAGAAGACTGATCTCTCAATGAGTGACCACTATAATGCCTAGAACAGGGGTGGGCAACTTCGGCACGCAAGTGAGGCCTCCAAAACGAGATAATTCTCCTTCACAAGAATTTTAAGACTCTTATCTGATGAAACTCTGTGTCCATTTATTCATTATTGTTCGTTAACAATCCGATATTTATTCAAACTCTTTTTGTCCTTTCATGACACATGGCTACAAAGAAATATGTTATGACGCCACAACTGAGTGAGATCTCGACAATTTCGGTCGGCACGCAGAAAAATTTTGTCATTAAATTTAGTCGATTTTGGCGGCGAATCGAAAAAGGTTGCCCACCCCTGGCCTAGAACTACTAAAACCATATGGCAGTGGTTCCCAAAGTTGATTGACAGGGCGTTTAAATTGGAAAAGGAATGATATTCGCTGGCTGGGAGAGTGAAGCGCCCGCTAGGGGCCGATATCATTATGTATAGTTGAATTGTTAGTTACGAATATACACATTCCTGAACAGTGATAATGACATAACAATTTGCATTATCCATAACACAAAAAGGAAAAAACAAAAGTGTTAAACTATCTCACTTAAGTTTGGCAGGCCATATTAAATGTATCGTTACACATGCACGTGCCACATTTTGGCCGCCGTTTGGGACCCACTGCCATAAGGACTTAGACAAAAAAGTTTGTTTGGTATTCTTTTATCAGCTGAAAATAATCCCATTCACATTATGTTATAAAATTTTATTATTCTGTGTATTTGATCATGTTTAAACAATACGCAAAAAATAAATTTTGTGATACCTGGAACCCTTGCCTAGAGCCGAGGTTCTCAAACGGTGGAGTGTGCCCCACAAAAGGGGCGTAGACAATTTTTTGAGGGGACGTGAAGCTAATTAAAAATAAAATATTTGTTAGATTCGATCTTGTTCACCTTATTTTGGATATTTACATTTCAAAGCATTTAATTTATTTACATTCCATCCCTTTGTTTTAACCCTTTCCATGCGATTTTTATTTTTTATTAAATAATCGTCTTTGCTACGCCGATTTTATGCATTTGTACCCCCACAACTAATCGATCGACTAACAAAAAACTAATGATCCTCTGCTGCCCACTGACGGCTCGTTGGAAAGCTTATTTAAAGAGCTTGCAATTGGCAATTAAAATTTATTTTTTTTTAAAAGTGGTGGTCTGAGTCACGAACCGGATAGAAAAAGACATTTTTTTTGCTTGGGAGTTGAAACTTCAAACCGTGATAAAAAAATAGAAATATTCGCTAAATCCTTTACTGTTATCGCTTCGTGGTTGGCAAACAATAGCATAATATTGCTGTAGCAATTTTGTGATCTAACTGAAAATACTTTGATAGATGGAAGGGATAATATGTCTTCTATTACCACCCAAAAAACACCGAAATTTGCATAAATTTCAAAAACACTCCCTCGTTCCGCCGCAAATAAAATTCTCGTCGTAAACGAAAGCGAGATTTACCGTCGCTTATGTTAATCTCGAAGAAGACTTCTTATCAATAAACTAAAACCCGGAAAAACTAGACCAACAGTTTGCGACCGATTGCTAAATAAAACAGTGGAGTACATCAACGTACCCGCCGCAATCTAGCGACTTTTATCGTTGGTACGTACGTATACGTGCCCACCGCACGGAAAGGGTTAATCTGCTTTTCTCCTTACTATCTGTTATTTGTAGCCTATTTTTAGCTAGTCATTTTTAAGGTAGGTCACGAGACTTGACAAATTCTAAAATGGGGACGCGGCCTAAAAAGTTTGAAAACTTCTGGTCGAGAACATTGTTCAGAATCAAGTAGTGGATACTTCACCTCAAAAGATTTCTTCCATTTTCCAGTCATCTAACTCAGGGGTGTAAATCAGGGGTGTGCAACCTTTTTTATTGGCGGGCCAAATACAAGTAACTGGGTGAAGCCGCGGGCCGCACCTTTATTTAATTTTGGCTTCCTGGTAGTTGCAAGCACAAAAATTGCCTATATTTGCTATTGATCTTATGGCATTATTAGGGGTTCTTGCAGAAATAGTAGATTTAAAACGCATAAACTTCTAAAGAAACTGCCATTTAAATTTTTTGTCACACCGACTTCAAACGAATGCAGTGAAAAACACGTTTTTGTAATATAAATCGTGTATTTTGCAACAGAATTTTGCTAGCTTGTTTTGCTAATATGACTGGTATGGGCTTTGCGACGAAAAAGAATAAATACTCGTTTTGCAAGTACACCATTCGAAATTGTTATTTCATCGCGGGCCGCACACCTTCTTCTTGCGGGCCGCATTTGGCCCGCGGTCCGCAGTTTGCACATCCCTGATCTAGCTCATTAGTAAACTGAACTATTTTCATTTTTCAAACTAGTGGTTTTAGATTTCCTAAAAGAATGAGAATCAAAAAGAAATGGATTGAAGCCATAAATCGTGCGGGAGATTTTGGCAGAAGGAAATGGAAACCTAATAGCAAATCTAATGTATGTTACCAGCATTTTCTAAGAGAGGATTTCTGCTGTGATGAGTCAGGTGAGGTTTTAATTTAAGATAGGATTGTCATATTCATCTTGAGTACTCCCGTAGTGTGTGTACCATGTTAAGGTTAGGCCATAATTTTATTTTGATTTTCCTCATTTTAGTTTTATTACAAGTTTGGGAATGTCCGTGGTAGCCAAGTGAATATAACCTCTGCCCATAGACTTCCGCCCCTTTAGACAACTTGATGTAAAGTAGGCGAACAAAATTATTTACCTCCATATTGGTACACATATTTCTTGAGCGCCAGATTGCTTAATCATAGGCAAATGATGACATCTTCTCTTGTCCAGTTACCATTCGGTGGGGTCTCGGCCAGCAAACCAGTTATTACTTATCGATCTTAAGATCGATAAGTATGTTGATAGGTATTTTTCTGTCTGTCTGTTTGTTTGTCTGTTAGATGGACGCGGTATCTCACGAAGGCGAAGTTGAATCTGCTCCAAATTTTGCATGTGCATTCATCATATTTCGGAACAAAAGCCTATGAATTTTGAATGAATTATGTCGTATAATTAGCAAGTTAATAATTAATTAGTGATGGGACACGCGGTGTCACTATAGAGTCATGAATCGAAATCGCAGTTTCGATCGATAAGTCTTCGGTCTCCGACCGATATTCTCGTTTGTTTTCTTGATGGCAGCGGAGGTCACATGAGCCACCCTGCTGCGGCGAGGAGTCCAGCAATCCTCTCACACAAAATTATTCCCCACAGGATTCCAACCAGTAAACCCATGCAGAGTAATTTCGGTCCTTTCATAATAAAGTGGATCCTTATATAACAGTGCCCGCACGTGTGCAGATCCTTCTGCTCTGCTACAGAGCCTTCGGAGAAAAGCTATAAATACGTCGTGTAATAAAAACGAACGTCTCATTTATCTGTTACAGGAAAGATACTCAAAATGCTCAAACCTACCGCAGTACCTTCCATATTCAACACCTACGACCCGGAATTAAACAGCGTCAAATTTAAGATTAAAGAAGCATCGTTAAAAGCAACGATGAAACCGAAAACAGCTCAAGAAATCATGTTATCTCTACCTATCTCTTCAGTTTCTCAAGATGGGGAGCAAGCGTATGTCAATAATGTTGTAATGGGCTTGACAGGTGACACCCAGGGTCCCGACATGGTTGAAAAACTGTTCGTAACTAATATAAGAGGGTCGGGTGAAATGCCGATGCACAATACAGGTATGACAGAAACTACAAATCTGAAAAATGCGGACTCTTCTAAAATTACTGCTGGTCTTGAAAACACAAAATCGGACTCAAATTCTGAACAAGAGCCCTCAAACACCAATTCGTTGAGTGCCAACCATTCTTTACACAAGACTGTGGAGCGAATTCCCACTGACAAGAAAAATGGAGTAAATGAAAATCAAATGGTATCTGCTAATCCATATTTGGATACCACCCAACACGATGATGGGGGCCTGGGTAACAATTTTGAAAGAAATATGGACCCCATGCCCCCAACATCCCCCAGGAAAGATACCTACCCTAGCCTGAACTCTACCAATGCAAGCAATAGTAATGAGTCATGCTTAGAGAATGGAAACCTAATTAGCGATTGTGAAACAAATTTAAGCAAAAAATCTGTGAAATACTTGCCAGGAAATAATGACGTATCAAATTCACATGGCCTACCTTTGACCAATAATTTGAGGACTGAAAACCAGATGGAAGAAAGCCTAAGTAGCAATTGTGAAACGAGTATCGGCCAAACATCTTTGATATACTCTTCAGAAAATACTGTCATATCAAATTCACTTGGACAATCCTCAAAGAACCCAACAGACCTTGTCAAATCCGCATATAATCTAAGTATCAAACAGTCTCATAATGGAGCGAATATTGACCGAATGGATATAGCACAAGAAAAGACATTAAATTCAAAACTAAATATTCTGGCTGACAAGAATGTTTCATCAGTGACTACTCAGGAAATTGAAATAAAAAAGGGCGAGGAGGAATCATTATTAGTCTCCGAAATAGAAACGACTCGCAATAAAACAATTCAATTTGCTTCAGCAGATGCGAATTCAAAATGCGCAACTTTAGAGATTTTACTTGAAAACGCTGCTATGGAAATTGATCAGACCAAATTAAGAGTAACAAATGGTCAGGCTGTAAATAATGAGATTCGAAAGCAGTCATCGTTATCAACGCAAGCTAAAACAAACTTCGGAAAAAATATCGAAATGGTCGACTGCTCAGAAACGATAATAGAAAAGGAAAATTCTACGTTGGACGCTCTTAAAATATCAAAAGAATTCAAGTTTGGTGAATCACCACAAAGCGACCAAAAAGGTGATCAGCAAAATTTTGCATCAGTGCCACATAAATATTCTGGAGCATCAGCCTTGATTATTAATGGGACACCGTTAAAAAAAGGAAACTTGCTAGTACAACAAACACTGTGCGAAGTGGCATCTACAAATTTCAAATTGAACAAACAAACATCAGGTAAAAAAACTGTGAATAAAAAGCTTGATGACGCAACTTTGATTTCCCTGCGAAAGAGGACGGTACAGAAACCTCAATGTGCGGAGAAATTTGATAAATCGCAGGCCTATTCTGTGGGTCACGAAATCAAGGAATACTCTGCGCTTCTGAAAAAAGTATCAATGGATAATAGTGACTTGGTGTCAAGTGATAACTCTGGACTCGTAAGTCCTCATATGGCTGAAGACCCATGTGTATTGATGCCCATCCCTGGGACAGACCCTCAAATATATCTGCCAAAAAATTTAGAAAATTTTCTATATTCTTTCCTATTGGCAAATGAAATATCAGAAAAAGAGTGCATTTTACAACGATTGGAATCCCTTGGTGGAGATATGAGAACCTTAACTGGCTTTGATAGCTATGAGCACTTTGATTTATTTTTTAACATGCTTGGCCCATTAGCGTTAGAAATGACTTCCAAAGCGTTAAAATCGCGCGAGCAACTTTTCTTGGTTCTTGTTAAATTATCTGGTGCGAAATCTGACATTGAAATATCTAAAGCGCTTAAAATCGGGCCCACCAGTGTTCGAATAATTTATGACCGATGGGAAGAATTCATGTTGAATCAACTACAAAGCGTGTTGGGAACGCAGAAAACTGAGTGGATGTCTGGCATGTGAGGGGGTTATTTTGCTCGAAGCTAGGTCCAAGGCCGTCAACTAAAAGTGGAAAGAATACTGATAGAAGAGTTGCATGTTTGCTCAAATCAAAGTCCTGAACCCTCAATTAAAAAAGTACTGATAGACAAGTTGCAAGTTCTCAAGCCCCCAACTAAAAGTGAAAAGAGTACTGATAGAAGAGTTGCAAGTTTGCTCAAAGCAAGGTGCCGAATACTCCTCAACTAAAATAGGAAAAAGTACTGATAGAAGAGTTGCAAGTTTATTCAAAGCAAGGGCCCGAGTCCTCAACTAAAAGAAGAAAATGTAGGCCTACTTATTGAAGACTTGCAAGTTTGCTCAAAGCAAGGTGCCGAGCCCTCAACTAAAAACAGAAAGAGTACTGATGAAAGAGTTACTTGCTCAAAGCAAGGTCTCTAGTCCTCAACTAAAAGAAGGAAAAGTACTGATAGAAGAGTTGCAAGTTTATTCAAAGCAAGGTCCCAAGCGCTGATGGAAGAGTTGCAAGTAACATTGTACGGGCTATAGAATTACAAATTTGTTGTACGTTCTCGAATTAGTGACCGCCTATAACAATGTTCGTTGCTCTATTTTTATGCTGTTTTTTTCAAATTTTACGTTTGTTTTGTTCGTTCAAAAATTTCCACTGTGATCCGTGCTGGGTTGTGTTTTTTCTCATTGGGGCGGGTCCATACGTAGGGGGTAATCCTCTTTGGAGTGAAGAGTAAAAGTAGACTTATACAACCTGACATGGAGAGAGAGAGAGATTTATTAATTGTCAACCAGGAAAAACATAATTACAATGATAATAAATTTGAAGCAGTGGGAATAACGTTTCTTCGGTATGCGTTGGAGGGAGCGATGCGGACATCAGAGTCAGCTCCCACCATGGTCGCACCAATGGAAATAAGTTATAAGTATATTTTGATTTTCCCACAAAAAAACCATACACAAAACACAAACAATGAACACAGAAGTTCAAAGTAAAAATATTTATTGTTATAAAGCGGTCAGAAATTCTAGAATTCTGCATCTTGAAAAAGAAAGGAAACTTGACCAAGAACGAGTTTATCTGTTCCTAAATGAAAAATGATTATTTGGAATTTTGGTACAAAAGTTAGAATTAGGATTTACATATTATCCCGGGGGAGAGGAAAGTCAATAATACGGGTAACCATATGGCGCACCACGGCCTCTCGGTCCGGTTACCATTTCATGTCGGGTATGGGATAAGTTAGTTATTTGTTTTCGGAAGCGTAGACATGGCGGTGGAGGAAGGATATATAAAACTATTTATCTTTTCTCTTACCGTTCATGTTTTCTTGTTGATAACATGTGGGGCCATGCTAACCAGAATGACTATAATAAATAGAGAGATTTATTTCCACAAACAATGAAAAAAACAATATTAAATAATATCGATAATTTTTATGAAGTTAGACTGTAATGAAAACAATGAAAAACAGTATAAAACAATATCGATGATTTTTATAGAAGTAGTCCAATTTACACATTGTTTTGTGTTGGCCAGTATGCAAGACCGTTGAAGGTCATCAAGGCTCCGGACCAATTTAACACTGTTATTGATTAAGAAGTCGGAATTAATTGTTACAATATAAATAATACTTACATTAGGAATTTTTATAATAAAATGCGTTGCTCTTTGTTTAATATATTTTGGTTCTATTGGGAGTTGATTTATCGAGTACAGTTGGATGACCTCATTAGCAGCGTACATGTTGACGAAGCGCAATATCACAGACTGAGCCCAGTTACCAATTAATATCGGGTATAAGATTAGTTGATCAATTACCTTTATGTCTTTCGCGTGGAAAAAGAGAGAGATTTATTCTCACAAAACAACATTGAATTGTGTTGGTCAGTATGCAAGATCTTTACAGGCCATCAAGGCTCCTGATCATTTTAGTCACGCTGTGATGCTGTCTTTTTTTTTCTCATGATATAATGTTTGACCAATGACATTAAACAACATGATGCGCAACTCCGGCATTTTTGTCCGAAGATCGTATTCGATAGCACGCTCCAATGCACATACTTGACGAGACGAAAACGAGCGGATGTGTGCTGCTTTCAAGGCGTAGCACGAATGGTGTTCGTGCCTGCTTTGACAGTTGTTGTCGATTTCAATGATATTTTTGAAAGTTGGGGTAAAAAGAAATCGGTAAAAGGTAAGGTGAATACTATTGTTGTATATCACACCCGGGCATCGCACTGTTGAGTACACGTGGGAAAGCCAGCCTTTGTCAAATACTACGAAGTTATTAATTCAGTACGGTACGTAGTTGCCCATTTGCCGAAATTACATATTTACTTATCCCTTATGGTTTCAAATAGTTCATGCACCTCCAGTTAGATTTTTTTAATCAGTGAGGATATATACTCATTGTTGATTGCTGCTCATTGTAACATACTATTACGCATTCACTTTTATTTGCGTATTGAATCAAAGTGTTAACAAGTTCACCTAACATTTCACTCATACCGGTCTATATTGTATAGTCTGATTTCTCAAGTATTTGGAGCCACGAATGCTTGTAATTTTCTGACTAAACCCTTTTATTAGTTGGTTTATATACCAAATTCAGTAAAATATTTTTTAAATAAAACATGAGATATTGGGTTTATTAGCTTTTCCATTCTGAATCATATAGACTGCTTTATTTATTCTTAACGAAAATTAATAAATCTCCTCTCTTTCTTCAGATGTGAAAGTTGTGGACAAACCTGTCTAAGCATTGTGAGACTCTTGCAGCACAAGAGCCAATAGCAGAAATAGTAAGTATATCAATCAAGAAATTAAGCCGACATAAAGCAAAACTTTCAACTATTCGTCTAATCTCAATTTCCTATCATTTATTCACAGGACAACTATAGCAGACGGGGAGATATCAGAAGTCTGGCGACATATCAGTGACAGTGTGATTCCAAGAAATATAATGCAATTGAAAATAGAAATTTGCAATAGAAAAACAACCTATGGAGGCATGCAAAGACATTTGACCCTCCGGTAGAGTTGTGTATGGCCCCCACATCCTGCAGGGCTTGAGGAAAATAACTAAAAATTCCAAAGCGTAAGATTGCTTAAGCGGTCTTATTTGTAAAAAGGCACAAAACACGCCAGACATACTTAAAACAGCTTTGGAAATGAGGATTACGGGTACCTCACTGCACCTGTGTTATATTTGGTTCATCAACTTTTGGTAGTACTATAGAAGAAATTCCGGAAGGGGTATAATCATCATTCATGATAAAATACTATCATATATTTTTTGAACAACTTCAATCTAGACCAGGGATCTCGAACTCGCGGCCCCAGAGAACTTCCAGTGCGGCCCTCGATTAACAATAATTGTAACAGTATTTTGGAAGTTTTTTTTTTATCTAAATGTAATAGATTTTTCAAACCTTCTAAAGTGAAATTGATTATTCACACAGAAAACAATTTACTGAAAGTAGTTTTGGAATATTGATTTTTTTTGTCCACATTTTGACCCAATTAAGAATACACATCAAGCTAACAAAAGAATACTTGAATAAAACACTTGAGTAATTAAATTAAACGCAAAGTACATGAAAAAGGTGGCATTTTCGGAGAAAATGGGAGTTGTAACATTTCTGCTCTTCACAAAATTCTGAAGCACATTGTTTAATTTGTCATATTTCCATCAATACAATCAAAAAACACAATAAGCTCAGCAGTCAATATGACAAATTCAAAGACCAACTTCGAACAGAAAATTTCCATGTGTTTGTATATTAATATAATTATACAACGACTTAGTTACTAAAAATCAATATCAATAATAATTCAAGCAATCCTATGCCACGCAATGTAGTGCGAAATGTCTTGTCGAAAAAATCTGTCATTTGTTTTTTACTGATCTATACATGAAATGATAAAAGTAACTTTTTTGCATTACTGGAATTAATTAAACATTCGTAAAGATCCAGATAAACCCATGATCATGTGGCCTCGTTAGTTAGAGTTGGTACTATAAAATCATTTCAGACTGGCCTTAGTATGCTGGTGACACAAAAAAGATGCCAAACGCCAGGACAAATGTAATTATTAAAACATTGAGTTTATACTGTAGTATTTTTGTTAATTTTAGGTTCATATATTTAGATTAAGTTATTTTTAGTGTATGTATTATTCTTTCCTTATTCAAAGCTTGTTCAAAAATGATTTTGATGGTTGTACATAGAATTTTACAATTTTTTATAATAAATACTGTAACTTGCAAATGTTGCAATAATAGTGGAATGCAAATATTAATATGTAATTGCATTTGAAATTGAAGAAAATAATAAAACTTAATCCAACTGTTTAGTTGCATCACAATATATGTCACAAACTAAAACTATCTTAAAAATATCTTTTAAGTATACATTATCAAAAACTGTTTGCGGCTCTTTTTACAATTTTTACAATGAGTTTGACACCACTGATCTATTCTAGACGATTCAAGCATTGCTTTGGGAGATTAAATTGAAATTGACTTCAATTAAATTGAAATAATCTCGCTATATTGAATACAAAATCGTTGCTATCATAAAGGTAAACCAATTCAGCCACTCGAAATATATTGGCCTTCACAAAGCAATGGAGGCAAAATTGAGAGTTCATGAGCTATGAACATTTGTCTTTTTCTTTGTCTTGAACTTTCCATACTCCACAGCCCCTATTAATTTTTTTTAATTTCAATTACCATGTGATGGTCATACATATCTTTAACTTGTATTTTCTGTCATGATGTATTATCTCAATGTGCCAAACTATTAATTAGTGCGCATATTTTGCTTCCAGATGACATAAATGTATTGTCATGTTTATTACCTCAGCTTGGAGTATTGACAAGAAAAAGGTGCCAGTAAATTATGTAAAAAAAATTTCAACTCATTGTTATAATCAGAATTCACAATCAATAGGAATTATAAACAGCCAACAATCAGTGAGAATTATATGCGAAATCCCTCAGAATAAATTTGTCTAAAATCGGAGGAAGGCAAAAAATATAGGTAGTTTCCATCCACACAAGCATTTCAAGGAGACTTGCTCGAGCCAAACTAAATGAGCATCGTCAGGTGATCGGTAAGGCTGCAAGTTGAATTCAGCCCTGCAACCTCCTGCATAGAAGATAATATTAATTAGTGGGCTATGAGCTAAATTCCTAAATTTAAACAAACCTCTATGATGCATTATGTACCAGCAATGTTACCTACGATTAACTGAATATGTAATATGTCTAATAAATTCACCTACAAAAGCAAGTTCGATAGGTGCAAACTTTGTGTTATGGAATTGTATCGCAGCACAGTTTTGTATGACACCCTCTTTAAATGAAATTTCAATGATTAAGCGCAAACATTAAAATTACTAACTTTGAACTTTGTCATTATCTGCAAAATGTTCCACACAAATCTTTCCGCTATCGCGTTTGTAATCTTCTCTGATAAAAAAAAACGTCTATGATGTCCAGAATTGCTCTTTACAGCTTGCCTGTTATTCCAGCTTTCCAAGTAAGCAAAATTTCTTAGATATAGAGATTATTTTGTTTCGTTACAGGCGCAAAAAGGCAGGTACTACACGTAAAAAAGACGCCGAGTAGCAAAAGCGAGCGGAAAACGGACGCGAAAGGCGACGAGAAATATGTGCATTGGAGCGTATCATGAAATACAATGTTTTGCCTGTAGTCTTATGGAGTGACGTCAGAGTTGCCTATCATGTTGTTTAATGTCATTGGTTTGACTTCTTTCTCTCTCCTGTTTATATTTCTGTTAGATTAATTCACGGGTGTCGCTGCTCGTTAACCAGTTTTGGTTTTTCGCGATTCCTTTCGCCCTGAAATGCCGTATTTAAATTCCTTTTTTATATTTATTTGCATGAAGTGTTTTTTTCTGTTTGGTGAAAAAATAAATTACTGATTACTGACTGATTAAGCTATCAGTACGGATTGTCACAATATGAAATTATAAAATAAAGACGGATACCATACAACGTCGAAGAGTCCGGCAATTTTTTTATTCATTTGTTTGGCGATTGCATGTTTGAAATAAATCACTCAGGAATCTAGGCAGCATACAGCGATAGCATCTTTGGCACAGACTGACAGGTGTGACGTCACACAATCGCTCATAGCGGAAGCTGGTATGCTACAAAGCCTCGTCATGCTTGACTACATAGTTTTTCGACTTCCGACTTTCGACGTTTCCCATGCGAATTATTTTGCTTTAGGCTGCGATTGGTTGGATTTTGATAACAATACCTGTGGGGTAGGTACCGTAAGTGATTCTAAACGATGGCGTGTTGTGCAATACCGGGATGCCATAACTCACAGAGATATAAAGGAGGAAGGTAAAGCCCGTTTTTAGATTCTTTCATGTGTTTTTCAATTTCTTGGATTTCCATTCTGTGTGTCAGTATGTTGTCTAAAATCAGTTATTTTATGGATCCAAGGTCTATGTTTCGTCTACGTCGGCCTGACCTGGCAAGAACTCCTGGTGAAAGAATACATCGTCAAAGGCTGACTAATGTTATGCTCTCGATTCGGGATTTCACAAAGGGCGATAACATTAAGAATTTGATACACAAAGAAAGGTGTGTGACTTGTTGTAATTTATTTAACACATATTTCAATATTGGGTATTAGTTTAGCGTGAGGTTTGCGGCCTTACGTAGCGTACTCGATAATACATCACACTAAAGTGCTAATGGGAGGTAGATCTTACGCTAAAGTAGCAAGCACCTCAACATTTTCCTTGGCTTGGGGGTTGCCGCATGATAATTCTATATTCTATTCAAACTTCCAAGCCCTGGGAATGATCACACGGTAGACCTCAGGTTTCCCCCAGGTAGGCTACATATGGTGTTAGCCCTCCTGCTAATTAAGCACCAACATTTTTTTTGCTTTCTATTTATTTCAGTTGTCATATTTGTGATAATCATTTTGCGAAGGAAGATATTTTGAGAGTACCAAACAAAACGAGTCTTAGACTTGGAGCGATGCCAACAAAGAATATGCCAGTCCCACAATGTAGCGCACCGGGATGCCATCACCCAAAGTAAGCTTTTGATAAGTTGAGTGTTTTCATTTCAAAGTCATTAAAATTCATTCATTAAAATTAGCCCGTTTCAAATGATTCCAGAGAAATCAAGGTACTTAGATAAATATACCTGAAGCATGCAACGGGCATTCTGAAGGCCTTACGCGGGCCCTCGTAGTAATTTTCGGCCCCTAGTCAATTGCGGAAATATTGTATGTCTGTTTATTTGAATTGATCGTTTAATATTATATTGGTCTAACTGTGACATTACAATATTTTATGCAAGATGTAATAATTATCTGAATCTTGCTAGGTGTTAAAAAATATGACGCTTTGAATGATGTAAGTATGTCAGAATGAGATTTTACTGCACAAATTGTCTGGCGGTATTGCACAATAACGTTGTTGTGAATCTCAGAGAGAACCTTGGGTAGCTCCTTGATTACAGTGGTTGCTGGTTCATAATTATCACATTTAAACTCACTGAAATTTTTTATCTCCAGTCATTTCAATCTGTAATGTAAAATTTTTTTTTTTTTAAAACTAGTGGGTTTAGATTTCCTAAGAGAATGAGGATTAAAAAGAAATGGATCGAAGCCATAAACAACGCAGGAGATTTTGGCAAAAGGAAATGGAAACCTAATAGCAAAGCTAATGTTTGTTATCAGCATTTTCTGAGAGAGGATTTCTGCTGTGATGAGTCAGGTGAGGTTTTAATTCAAGATAGGATTGTCATATTCATTTTGAGAGCAAATCGGGCAAAATTACTAGTACTCCCGTAGTATGTGTACCAGGTTCCTGATTTTCCTTATTTTGGTTGTATTACGAGTTCTGTTGTAGTACGAAGGACTGTTTGTGTTAGCCAAGTGAATATACCCCCTGTCGTTCCGTTTCTTTACACAACTTGATGTAAAATAGGCAAACAAAATGAGTTACCTCCATATTGGTACATATACTTCTGGAGAGCCAGTTCACTTAATTATACGCAAATGACTGCATCTTCTCTCGTCCAGTTACCACTCATTAAAGATCTCTGCTACATTTTCGGTGCTCCAGAAGTATGTGTACTAATATGGAGGCAAGGAATTTTGTTCGCCTACTTTGCATCGAGTTGTGTTAAGGGACTGAAACCTATAGGCAGGGGGTATATTCACTTGGCTAACACAGACAGTTCCCAAACTTGTAATAGAACTAAAACAAGGAAAATGAGAATGAAATTACGCCCTAACCTGATACACACACTACCGGAGTCTTCAATACCTGCCAATTCACATAACGCCGAATGAATGGGGTAGGTAATGCTGGAATAGAAAGATTTTTCGTCCTGAAAATAGTAGTGACTAATGTAAATGTATATAACCTTGTTCTGAGTGAAAAACAAAATTGAATTAGCAAAGGCGGTTCCATTACATTTGAACCCACGTACATTTGAACTCATGACAATTGCACCTGTATGCTATAGCACCTATGGAATTTTTTTTGTTTCACGGATAGTTAAACCCATACTAACCCTAACCCATGGGTTATAGCACCCGCATATAGATTGAACCCGTGGATATACGCATGGGTTCAAATGTACATGGGTTCAAATGTACGGTCACCAGCAAAGGCATTTAGTTGGCTTTATAAAAATATACTCAATAATAGCGGGATCATGCTATGCGTTTGGGCCTTGTTTACTATCGTGCGTGACACGGTGGTGTGGCACATCGTGCTAGGCGTTTGTAGTACGCTCATCAACTTATAAGAGTGGCGCTCTTGTGCAAATTCTCCCGAGAAAAGCTATAAATACGTCGTGTAATAAAAGCTAACACCATTTTTCTATTGCAGGAAAGATACTCAAAGCGCTCAAACCTACTGCAGTACCTTCTATATTCAACACCTACGACGTGGAATTAAACTATGTTAAATTAGCGATTGCTAAACCTCTGTTAGAACCAAAAATGAAACCTAAAACAGTTCAAGAGATACCTGTTTCCTCAGTTTTTCAAGATGGCGAGCAAGCACATGTCAATAATGTTGTAATAGACTTGACAAAGGACACACCGAGCCCAGATATAGTTGAAAAACTATTCATCACAAATATCAGAGGCTCAAATGAAATACCACTTTCGAACGGACATACGGGTATAAACTCAAACAATGCAGATATCACAGAAAATACCAATCTGGAAACTACGGACTTTTTCAAAGTGATTAGCATTGAAGACACAAAATCGAACATAAATTCTGAACAAGCACCCCCAAATACTGAACCGTTGAGTGCCAACAATTCCTTACATATGACTGTGGACCAAATTCCCATCGACAAGAAAAATGGAATAAATGAAAATCAAATGGTATCTGCTAGCCCATATTCGGATATTACCCAACAGACCGATGGGGGCTTGGGTAACAATTTTGAAAGAAATATGGACTCCATGCCTTTAACGTCATCACAGAAAGATACCTTCCCCAGTCCGCTATTGAAGACTCCGGTGAGGCCCGCCAATGCAAGCAATATTAGTGAGTCCTGCCTAGGGAATGGGAATCAAATTAGAAATTGTGAAACTAATATAGACCAAAAATATGTGAAATACTCCCCGAAACATACTGTGTTATCGAAGTCACATGGCCTACCTTTGACCAATGGTTTGGGGGTTGAAAACAAGATGGAAGGGAGCCTAAGTAGCAATTGTGAAACAAGTGTCGTTCAAACATCTACTACGTACTATCAAGAAAATGCTATCATATCAAATTCGCTTGGGCCTTCTTCAAATAACCCAACAGACCTTATCGAAGCACCGCATAATCCAAGTATCCAACAGTCTCATAATGAAGCGAATATTGAACAAATGGATATAGCGGAAGAAAACACATTAAATTCAAAGCTAAATGTTCTGGCAGGTGATAAAGAGCCATCACTGACAGCCCAAAAAATTGAAATAGAAAAGGGCAAAGAATCATTAATGGAATCAGAAACGTCTAACGGTAATACAGTTATACAGAATACTGAAATGGAGATTGACAATACTGCAGCTAGTAATGAAATAAGTTTAACAGATCCGAACCAAATACCCTTGTATGGTAATAATGTGAAAAGTGCGATTCATAAGCTGTCTTTTTTACCAATGCAAGCTGAATCTAACTTTTCGTCATCCCAAAATTTTGGAGGGTCTGATCCAAATATTTTGAAATTGAATATTGACGTAACAGATATGGCAGCAGAACATACAATACAGGCTGGCACCTATTTTATGCCTTCCCAAAATCATAGTAGCGAGTCCACAGGACATAGAAAAGGCCCAGATCAAGATATTTCAAAGTCGAATACTGATATGATTGCAGATACTGAAGGTTTTGTGGAAGCAAATAGCCATTTACCATCGGACACCCCTCAAATATCAAAAGATCTCAATGGAAAATTGTGGCAAAGCTACCAAAAAAGCAATGTTCATAATCTTCCAGAAATGGTGCATAAAAATTCTGAAGGCTCAGCCTTGATTGTTAATGGGAAAAAAGGAAATTTGCTGTTACAACAAACACTGAGCAATGTGGCATTTACAAATTATTTTAAAATGAACAAACAAAAAACGCTTGGAAATTTATCAGGTAAAAAAATAATAATTGGAAAGCCTGATGATGAAACTTTGATTTCCTTACGAAAGAGGACAGTACAGAAACCTCAATGTGAGGAGAAATTTGATAAATCGCAGGCATATTCTGTGGGTCACGAAATCAAGGAATACTCTGCGCTTCTGAAAAAAGTATCAATGGATAACGGTGAAGACCCATGTGTATTGATGCCCATACCTGGGACAGACCCCCAAATATATCTACCAAAAAATTTAGAAAATTCTTTGTATTCTGTCCTGTTGGCAAACGGAATATCAGAAAAAGAGTGCATTTTACAACGATTGGAATCCCTTGGTGGAGATATGAGAACCTTAACTGGCTTTGATAGCTATGAGCACTTTGATTTATTTTTTAACATGCTTGGCCCATTAGCGTTAGAAATGACTTCCAAAGCGTTGAAATCGCGCGAGCAACTTTTCTTGGTTCTTGTTAAATTATCTGGTGCGAAATCTGACATTGAAATATCTAAAGCGCTTAAAATCGGGCCCACCAGTGTTCGAATAATTTATGAACGATGGGAAGAATTCATGTTGAATCAACTACAAAGCGTGTTGGGAACGCAGAAAACTGAGTGGATGTCTGGCATGTGAGGGGGTTATTTTGCTCGAAGCTAGGTCCAAGGACGTCAACTAAATGTGAAAAGAGTACTGATAGAAGAGTTGCAGGTTTGCTCAAAGCAACGTCTCAACCCCACAACTAAAAGTGGAAAGAGTACTGATAGAAAAGTTGAAAGTTTGGTCCAAACAATGTCCCAAGCCATCAACTAAAAGTGGAAAGAGTACTGATGGAAGAGTTGCAAGTTTGGTCTAAACGATGTCCCAAGCCGTCAACTAAAAGTGGAAAGAGTACTACTGGTAGAAGAGTTGCAACTAATATTATAGGGGCTTTAACACAAATTCAGGCTTGTGAGACTGCCTATATATAACAATTCTTATTGCTCCATTTTTTATGCTTTTTTATACTTGTTTTGTTCATTTAGAATTTTCCACTGTGATCAATGCTGGGTTATATTTTTCTTATTTGGGCGAAGTCCGACGTAATTTTTTTTTATTTGGAGTGATGGAGTTAAAGTAGGGGTTTCGCGTAGAGCGCTGGGTGGGTTCGCTTCTGTGCACGTTAATTGAATAGATTTGTTTTGTATTGTACCACCAGTGCAGTAAAGGAATCTAGCCCATTCTTTGTTCGACGAAGTCTCTGGAAGTGTTGATTTTGATAAGAGTTTTTCAGCTTAGTCTTAATAAATTGTAATGCAGGTAGTTTACGCAGAGTAAATTTCACCAGACAGATCGATTTGTCATTTTGAGTTCTTTCTAAGGAAAACCGATAAGACGGCTTATCCATATGGCGAACTACGGCCTCTCGTCCGGTTACCATACCAAGTCGGGGATAGGATTAGTTATATTGTTTTTCGGAAGCATGGACTTGGTGATGGAGGAAGCCGTAACCGGCCAGCGGTTACGTGAACCACCCAACGACGGCGAGGAGTCCAGCAATCCTCTCCCACATAACCATCCCTGCATGGGATTCGAACCCACGCAGAGTAATTAGAGGTGCGGTAGCGAGCGTATTCCTAACGCTTAGCCCGTTGAGTCACACCGCGGTGTAAACAGAACATAAAAAAATAGGGGCCGGTGCTTGAATACCCGCCCGCTGTAAAAGCTGATTTTTCAGTGGTAGAAAACATTGGGAAATAAGAAGCACTTTTGTCACAACTCTGTTGAATTTTGAGCGCTGGTAGATAACACTCACGCCCTAGGCGTCCAATTACATAACAGATAGCATTGATTACGTAACACCGTGGTTCTCAAACTGGGCGTCGTTTCAACGTACGTTCGGCGTGAATAAATTGACATGGAAAAAGGAATAATGTCGTCAAATATTTGTCTTCAAAGATGCCGTAATTTTTGTATATAATTTTACTTTAAAAATAACAAGCGTCCGTGCGTGAGGGCCGGTTTGAATAAGGGCCCGGTTAGTGAGCTGGTTAAAAAAATATGGGCCCGGGCTACAAAACGAGCAAATACGGTATGTTAAATAAAGGTGCGGCGCGTAGTTTCACCCAGTTAAATTCATTGTGGGGCCCCAAGATAATAGTCAGCCTTTTCAAGGCTCCATAACAGCAAAAGTTTGAGAACCCCTGGTCTTGGGCAGGGCTACTCGGCTATTTTTACCAAAGATCTGCATACAACACTTTAAAATTATTTGGGTCCAGTCTTTCCAGAAATTATATTTTGGCATCCTTAAATGCACACTTCCTCAACCAACCAGCTAATGATTATTAGCAAATCAAGATTGTTTATTATGGTGTTATAGTTCTTTTCATTTATATTCAAAACTATAAAATTCATTTTATAAAAGGAAACTTGAAAAGTGATCCAAAATGAAGAATTATGTGCGGTCCGAATCTGATACTCGAAAGGTCCAGACTCTGACCGCCAGTTGAGTAGCCCTGTTTCGAAGTACTTATTTTAGATTGTGAAGAAAAATCAGAAACCTAACCCCCCGTCCAATAACAGAAAGTCTCGACTGCGCCGCATTCTGTGATGTAAATCCACTTATATTATTACAGTAGAAAAATCACAACTCAATGGAACTGTACAATGACATAAGGTTGTAATCACTGGAAAAAATTTTAATCCAAAAGTTTGGAAAGAATTAGTCAATAGGGAGTTCACAGCAGGGTAATGCACACATTGAGCAACTACTAAAATTTGGATCTTTTTTTATGAAGTTTCTTTGAATGTCTATGTCTATGTCCTCGACTATAAGTGGAAAGGGTATTGATATACAGGGTGTCGATGAAGTCTCTTTACAATTTTAATTTCGTTATTTAAATCATGTTGTCAATATATCTGAACCAGGTTTGTTATTTTTTAATTGTTCGTAAGTGTTCAAGTATTTTTACTTCATTTAATACATGTGTGAAGACCGAAACAATATTCGGTAACAATAAATTACTTTTGCAATTTTAAGACTTTATGGACACCCTATATAGGTTGCAAGAATACACTGAATTCGATTAATTTAAATAATAAGTAAATTCCAGACAATTTCTGAGCTTTATCTAGAAATTTTTAACCAATTTGTCCATTTACTTTACCAGTAATGAACGGGGCCAGAGATAGCAACAAATTTGAAAAAAGAGTTTTTAAGGTCAAAGTTTTTTTCAAGGGTATTCATCGTCCTCCTCAGCCACTTCCTTTGCGAACTCGATGTCTTGAAGTTCTCTTTCACGGCGCTCTTCCGCGCTCTCTAAATCAGCGTGGTATGATTTTGGGGGAAACCTCATTGCCATAACTGAATTACGATAGATATCCAAGCAAAATTCGATTCGATTATGGAATGCTTTCTGCGGCTCCCGTGTCCCATAAACATCAGTTGTATCACGAGTACGAACATACCCTTCCTCGTGATTAATTTCCGCTTCAATGACTCCGTCTTTAATCGCCTTGGCGATGATAAACTCCGCCTCCTCTGCAGAATCGAGTTGTAATTTTTTCGCAGCGTCAGTGAGGAAAATTCTAGAATATCCGACAGATATTTGTCGAACTCCAGTTTTGATAACATTATGACGGACTCGTAAAATAAGCGTGTACATGCGATCCGCCCGGAAAACATCTCCATGCTTTTCTAAATTCTCATTGAAGAGCTTCAAGTCTCCTGTCCGAACCGCTTGTGTTAACTCGAAATACGGTATCAAAGCACCCCTTATCGATTCTTTTTTGAATTGAGCACGCTCTGGAATTTCTCCGAGAAGTAACTCAACCGTGACAAGCAATTTAGTCACAGTTTGCTTGAATCCGACAGCAGTTGCTTGCGGGGCTTTGCGAAGAGCGCTGAGTAGCGTCTGGTGTGCTTCTGAGTACTCTAATTGAATAGCTTTAATTCTACCAGTGTAGTAAAGGAATCTTGCCCATTCGTTGTTCGACGATGTCTCCGGGAACGTTGATTTCGATGCAAGTTTTTCAGCCTGGTCGTACAAATTATAATGCAAGTAGTTCCGAAGAAGTAAATTCAACAGCACAGATTGGCTTTCCTGGTCGTGGTTCAACGTTGCAGTTCGCAGTCGAGAATGTAACACGCCTCTTATGTCCTCCAAACGGTTCGTCATTTCATAAGCTCTGCTGTAATAGAAATAACATTTCGCAGCCAAACTGTCAAGTGAACGGCGATTTTGGCTCACAAGTTTCGTGACAATTGCAGTTGATAACTTAACAGCCTCATCGTACGAATTTTTATCAACAACGTAGATCAGCACTAGGAGGTGGATGTAAATATCAGTCTCCGGAATTCGAAAACTCTTTGCTTGTCGCGAAGGCGGTGCTGAAGCAGCGTCTGCACTTTGTTTTGTAGCTGTTTCCATAGGTTCATCAATGAAGGACAAAAGCATTTCTTTATTTGCATTGTCAGTAGCTTCTCTTCCATTGTACACGAGCGAGATGATTTGATGAAATATTTCGGGATTTAATCTTCTTCGAGTGGCAGGGATTGACCGCATTACTCTCATAGCATGACGAGGCTCCTTCATAGTCACGGAACGATCTAAAAGTCGTAACTGTTCTTTGAAATCTTCAATAAAAGCTTTATCAGCCTTTTCTTTCGGGTCAATTTCATCTTTTTCTGGTTTTTCTTCTTCTTTTTTCTCAACTTCCTTCATTTCGACATCTTTTGTTGACGCCTTAGACGCCCTTTTTCCCTTAACCATTTTGAGGATATTAGATTTAATGTTACGTACAATTCTAGTAATAAACAGAATAAATAAACTTTTGTAAAGCTGCCAAAAAATTTATCTTCAGTTTCTATTGGACTGTATGAACTGAAACATGGTTCGTGGTTATGATTACTTACCAACACCATTCATTAGCTTACGGTACCCGATATGTACCGTACCTTTGACAGTAACAGCATTCCCAAAACAATAAATTCATTTTGAATTCACTAGTCTACAATCTGACAATAAAATACCAGTAATAAATTATCGTATCTTGGGAATCCATAAATGGCCTTCCATACCGCAGATTTTCAAATAATTCTCAAGAGGTAAAAAATAAAACTCTATTTAAACTCATACAACTGAAGTATAAAACAATATATGACAGATAATGCTAGCATATTGCTATAAACTGCAACTCCCTTCACAAAGCTAAGCCCCGAGAAATGCTGATTCACATGCAAGTCATGTTTAAGCGATGCCTTTGGGGTGCAAGGAGTCGCATTAATCTGACGGTCACGAAAAGCCGTAATCGTATTTCTCTTGGGGGAAAAGTAGCATAAGCGTGGTTCCCTTGGTTAGTAAAATTAGCTGCTCCAATCGCTCTGTCACATCTAACGCAGTAATTGGGATATTTTTTATAATGGTTTTCAGGCCGACTTCATAGAAGGAAGGAAGGATTTACATATTTATCCCGGAAGAAAGGAAAGCCGACAAGACGGCTTAATCATATGGCGAACCACGGCCTCTCGACCGGTTACTGGTCCAGGTCGGGTATGGGATTAGTTAGCCAGTTATTTGTTTTCAGAAGCATGGACTTGATGGTAGAGGAAGCTGTAACCAACCAGCGGTTACGTGAACCACCCTACGGCGGCGAGGAGTCCAGCAATCCTCTAGCACATAGGTTCTCAAAGTGCTCCGTACGGAGCCCCAGGGCTCCGCGAGAGAAACCCAGGGGCTCCGCGAGCAATTCGATTACTTTTCAAAATAATAACTAGTTTTGTAACTGTTCAAAGAAGCAATAACAACTTTGATAAAATGTGACAACAATATAGCCTCGAAATATGGCAAAGAGGCGCAATTAAAAAATGAAAATATTATTTATAAGCTGGAGCGCAGCCAGGATTCTCAAGAGGTGGAGATTTGAATCGGAAATTTCCGCGCAACATTCTTTGCAATTATAAAAAACGGATAACGAGATTTCTGTTGCGTAAAATATTCAATGTATGGCCGATGCGAGCATTTAAAGTGTCTTGTCGTAACAATTCAATTGTACTCATTGTTACTCGAGTTTCATTCGAGATTACTATTAGGATTACTAAAATGAAAGAATACTATTCTAAAAATTCATAAAATACGTGATAAACTGCCAACTATAAATAAATTGGAGTCGTATTTTTGCGATCTTGGAATTTGTCAAACTTGATTTGTTCTTTTGCACTCGAGATTATTATTAAGCAAGATATCGTCGTCTAAAAAATCACAAGATCTGGGCAAAATACGATTGGACTTTATTTTAATGCATGCGGCTCCGTCGGTAGTTTCAGAATAAAAAAAGGTAAATCGCGCACACAATTGACTGTGTTTCGATTTCGCAGTTACTATATACGATGAATAAATATTTTAGAATGCCGTTTTTCAATTAAGAAATTTGGGTTGCGGATTTACCTCTTTATTATTAATTATTATTTTTAGCATTTCGTCGCCGATGACTATATGGTAACATGTTTTTCACATTGAATTCATAATTCCCCACGAGAACAAAAAAGCAATTATCGCCGTCATTGTGGAACAATACATGTATATGCCGAAGAAAAGTTTTGATTTAGAGAGAATAAACACCGGCGTAAAGATGTTTAAAAACATGCCATGCTGACGAAAACTATCGGTGATTGTAACAAAATGCAATCGCGCACGTTATTAGCGGTCTTTTAAGTCTTCCGAAAATGTCAGAAGGGAAAAGATTCGACCCCTAGTTTATTAATATGTTTGTCAAGTGTCAAATTTACAGCTTTAGTAAGAGTATATATAATTTATCTTTGAAATTTCGATTTATTTGAGACTTGCATTAACCCCATTAAAAAAAGGTTTAGCATTTAAATCAAGTTAAGTACTTTTAACTTACTCAGGAATATTTATCGGAAAGCTACAATTTTAACATTTCGTTTGGGGCTCCGCGAATAATAGTCAACCTTTTCAGGGGCTCCGCAACACCAAAAGTTTGAGAACCCCTGCTCTAGCACATGATCATCCCCGCATGGGATTCGAACCTGCGAACCCACGAAGGGTAATCAGAGATGCGGTGGCGAGTGTATTCCTAACGCTTAACACGATGCGCCACACCGCCGAGCCAAATGCGCGGATGTAATGTAGGAGATGTAACTCGACATACCGATATAGATAGATAGTTTATTTTGAAAACGGACAATACAAACAAATTAAAAATGGAGATTTCCGGAGAGCGAGCAAAAAAGTTTAAAACAAGATGAGTACAGTATCATGTGCCTCACCAACAGATATTATAAATTTTATGGTAATTTAGTACATTATTGACCATCATAAAAGAATCGGGTTTAATATGACGTAAATATATACTACATAATAATAAAGACAGCACTATGTGAAAATATTACTACAATCATTAACAGTAAATTGCATTATATACGAATAAACTTACTCTGAGAAGTTCGAGCCTATATTCTCACTGGTGTGACGCATTGTGCTCAGCATTAGGAAAACACTCATTATCACGCCTCCGATTACCCTGCGTGGGTTCGAATCCCGTGGGAAATAAATATGTGTGAAAGGATTGCTGGACTCCCGTTTTTGTAGGCCATGGTAATTCACGTAACCGCTGTCCGATAATTAGAAGATATCGGGAGGACATTACTGTAAATGTGACGCATCGTGCCGACATTAATTGCTAACCCTCTCCTCAGATATTATTATGTTAATCCTATTTCATTTCGTCAACAAAGTCATTGGAAAAAGTCTGAAAGGAATTCTCGATTTCAGATGGTATGTCATAGGATTAGGTCATTCCACATTTTTTCTTCTCGGAGATGATTATGATAATTCCAGCCTTTGGACGTGTTGATTTCAGTCCTGTGAATGAAAACAACGCAAAGTAAAAGTTGCTCAGAAGTCGGAAGGGCAAATACCAAAGGGTATAAGGCTACGACATCAGATAATATAAGTGAAGATAGTTTTTCATATTTGTACAAAGGAAGAGGACAGACAATTAAGTGGCTAAATCTTTTGGCGAGTTAAACCACGTCGCATCCAGTTGCCAGCCCATACCGAGTTGGACTTTATGGCGGGGAAAACTGTATCCAATCAGCGGTTACGTGAATAGCAATCATCGTGCACATAACTATTCCCCACGGGATTCAAATTTGCGAACCCACAAAGGGTAATCAGAAGTGCGATGGAAAGAAACGACAACCGCCGAGCTGGCTGCATATTTTCAATATGATGCCGTATTGCAGAAAGCTACACTTTAGGTGTTGTGCTTATTATTCCTGTATTGTGTGATTTTTAATTTCCAAAACAATGAATGTTAGTGTAAACTGTTGTTTAGGTTTTATATATATAACAAGAGAGCAACGCTCAAATATATGGACACGTTGACCAGAGCGAAGCAGTCCTTACCTATGACGTTACCGGTACCTTACCGTACCCTCAAAAATTCCGAATTCACATTCTCAAGAATTTTAGGATAGGATAGGATTTACATATTTTTACCGGGGGAGAGGAAAGCCGGGTATGGGATTAGTTATACAGTATTGTTTGTTTTCGGAAGCGTAACCAGCGGTTACGTGAACCACCCAACGACGGCGAGGAGTCCAGCAATCCTCTCGCACATAACTATCCCTGCGTGGGATTCGAACCTGCAAACCCACACAGAGTAATTAGAGATGCGGTGGCGAGCGTATTCCTAACGCTTAGCCCGTTGAGCCACTTGCTGCGCACAGTCATTCATCACGCTTGGCGGATTAAAAACCGTGTTTCCATAATTAAAATGTAATACAGCGCAATTTTGGATGAAATATTAGATCTCCTAGGATTTATAGTAAATTTGGGGAAAAATAAAAGTTATAGCCTTCTGGAGAAAAAATCAATCCTCAACCACTGAAAATTTCAAAACAATTGGTCCAGTATTCGAAGAGAAAAGCGATTTTATCGTGACGAAGAAAAAGAACGTCAATCAACAAGAACAACAACATAATATCAAAACGACCCATAGGTACACTCATGTGTCCAAATATAAAAACGATTCATAACTTGCGTGTCCGATAATTGAGCCCTCGTTGTTGCAAAAAAGTTCTCTCACTTTCAACGTGTTACGTCGCCGTTCTGGATGATTGGCTATGAATCATCTGTTCCTGACGTCACATGTTGTTCTTCAGTGAAAAATTTGCAGCCAGATCGGGCTTCTGGGTTTCCGCTGGCTGCGTTTCACAGTTTTATCTGATGGCTGCGGCCGTCAATTTGTAATAAACTTAGAAGTAGCGCCATGGTACCAAAGGCTGGAAGGCGAACAAACAGGACGAAAATTCAGAATATACCCTAAATTACGCCCGGTCTTGATTAACCCTTTCCATGCGATTTTTATTTTTTATAAAATAATCGTATTTGCTACACCGACTATATGCATTTGTACCCCCACAACTAATCGATCGACTAACGAAAAAGTAATGATCCTCTGCTGCCCACTGACGGCTCGTTGGAAAGCTTATTTAAAGAGCTTGCAATTGGCGATTGAAAAAAAATTTTTTTTTTTAAAAGGGGTGGTCTGAGTCACAAACCGGATAAAAAAAGGCATTTTTTTTTCTTGGGTGTTGAAACTTCAAACCGTGATAAAAAATAGAAATATTCGCTAAATCCTTTACTGTTACCGCTTCTTGGTTGGCAAACAATGGCATAATATTGCTGTAGCAATTTCGTTATCTTACTCAAAATATTTTGGTAGATGGAAGGGGTAATATGTCTTCTATTACCACCCAAAAAACACCAAAATTTGCATAAATTTCAAAAACACTCCCTCGTTCCGCCGCAAATAAAATTCCCATGGTAAACGAGAGCGAGATTTACCGTCGCTTATGTTAATCTCGAAGAAGACTTCTTATCAATAAACTAAAACCCGGAAAAACTAGAACAACAGTTTGCGACCCATTGCTAAATAAAACAGTGGAGTACATCAACGTACCCGCCGCAATCTAGCGAGTTTTATCGTGGGTACGTATACGTGCCCACCGCACGGAAAGGGTTAAGGGCCCGTTTGAATAGCCGCCCGTGTGAACAGGACATAAAAATAAATAAGGGCCGATGCTTGAATACCCGCCCGGTGTAACAGTTTTTTTTTTGCGGATTTGTACCGTACCTGCGGTGCGTAGAAAAAGTCAAAATTTTCATTATTCTCGTTTAAATCATACTTGAGAACTGGAAATGACAATATACGGTATTAATTACTGTAACGATCGATCTTATCTACCGGTACCGTATTTTTGTGTGTAATTTTTCTTCAAAAATAATAACAAGCGCCCCTGCTTGAATAAGGGCCGGTTCGAATAAGGGCCCGGTTAGTGAGTATGTTTAAAAAAATAAGCGCCCAGGCTATTAAACGAGCAAATACGGTATTTAATAAAATGGAGGATAATTATTACAGGATTCACTGATTTATGTTAAGGGAGAATTTAGCAATGCACGGATGCCTGGCTGCACCAACCACGGACTTCAATGTTCAGATGTTCCGCCACTCCAATGTTTAAGTGGACTAGTTGAGTGCAAAACTGGAATTTATTTTTTTATTGGCCAGATAGGAAGCAGTTTGGTACAAGGGCTTAAGCTGAAATTATATGTCTTCCACCTTATTATACATTATAAGGGTCTCTTGTAGTTTCGTACCTAACATACTTCTAGCGGGCGTAGCATGACAATTTTTTCACGTATCAATCCTAACCCTCACCTGACTACACCATCCAAAAATTACATCATTACGACTTCACAGTGACGTAATAGAGCCCTTCAAACTATATGAACTGCCATACAAGACGCGTAAACGAGCACCCAAAATCGAACAGTTCTTTCTCTCGTTTCCTCGTCGCAACGGTTCCAATAGGAGAGAGATCGATAACTTCAGTCAGTTCTTTATCGTGAGCGCCAATGCCATTTCGGGCGATCGTACGAATATTTGGCAAGCTCTATGACGTGATTGTGATGTCGTAGTGACGTAATTTTTGGATGGCTTAGTCAGATGGGGGTTAGGATTGACATATCAAAAAATTGTTATGCTCGCCTACTAGAAGTATGTTAGGTACGAAACTACAACAGACCCCAATCTAATACCATTTCAGGATTTATTGATTTATGTTGACATTCTGAAAACACAACACTCGGTAAAAAAAACCATATTACAGAAATGCCTGGAAAACGAGCAAAACTTAAGAATAAAGTTTATAACGTGTAATGCATGTGCTCGGTCACCAAAAATGACACAAATAATAACAATTATGACAAGAATATCGGTCAGAGACCGAAGACTTAATGATCGAAAGTTAGGGGATTCCCCAAAACAGAAACTGCGGTTTCGATTTATCCGCTCTTACTCCACAGCGACATCATGTGTCACATCACTAATTAATTAATAACTCGCTTATTATTCGGCATAATTCATTCAATAGACTTCTGGTCCGAGATATGATGAATGCACATGCAAAATTTGGAGGAGATTCAACTTTGCTTTCCTACGAAAGTGTCTAACAGACAAAAACCTATTAACATACTTACCGATCTTAAGATCGATAAGTACTAAAAGAGACTCTATGAACAGCAGTGACAGGTCCCTCGGTCATGAAAACGAGGCAATCTATGGTTAAAATGCGACTGATTAACTCGATGGAGAAATATTTTTATATATTAGACGCTCGTTGGCACCCAGATTTGAACTTTGCAGCTTTTGTGAGGAATAATTACTTAAAATTATGCCTGACTGCCTGAGGGGGTTGCCTGTTATCTGAGAATGGCATCTGTAACAATTATAGTCCTGTAGTCGATGCATTTGAAATGATTAATTTAAACACTGGGAACTCGCAGAGAGCAAAAAAGAGTGTAATTGTTTAGTTACGGCAAACAGAAAACACAGGCACAGCAAAATATTGGTGAAAGCAAAATCTTCTGACGATATGACATCGCAGTTAGTTACCTCCCAATTGCTGGATTTGTGTATATCGAAAGTATTTGACACATATCAGTGCTGTATGGCATAGTTCTTCGATTCCAAGTACAGCCCCCAAATAAATAACATCAAATAGAACCAAGTGCAATTTCAAGTATTTTGTGGCGTCTAGAACTGCCGCAAAACCATGGCGGGATTTCCAAACCATGGCCGCTATGACCAAACCCACGGCACGGCGACTGACTGTTTAGCTGCCGTAATCACGGCAGCTCGCTATTGGTTTGTGTACCACCAATTTTGCTGCCATAACCACGGCATGTCGGCTGTAATAGCAGGGCTGCCCCTGATGGTGATAAATATTGGGTAAGTTGGAACACTTTTCTTATGAAAACAATTTTGATGTATTTGGGGTTAGGTTTAGGTTTAAGTAGATATAATTCCGCATGATAAACTAAAATATTGTACATGACTTTGTAAATATACCGATAATACCGCCATAAAACCATGGCAAGAGATGGCGGGTACATTCGTGGCAGAAGCTGCCTCAATATAACAGTGAAAAAAAAAATCTTGATTTATTTTTTGTCATACTTTTGTACCTACTTACTTCAGAATCAAAAAAAAATAAATTAGGTAAGTTAAAACCCCTCCTTAATGTATGACAGTCTGGGCCTCCATAGCTTTGTGCAATAAACTAAAAGGAAGTTCAATCTAAAAATATTACCATTGAATTTCTCAGAAAAAATAATTCGATATACTGAAGAAAAGTTACCATAGCATTTGGGAGTTTTCAGCAAAAATCGCAAGTTTAGTCATGTGACAGTTGCGATTAATTTACGATTATTATTGAAACAAGCATGACACAAACTGACCAGTGCCAGACACCCTCGCTTAGAGTGTGGGGACATCTTGAAATTAGAGAACATACTGTTTACTCGAGTAGTTTATTTGTATTCTCTGTTGATAAATAGAACATCAGTCTTTTTCCTACTAATTTTTTCAGTTAATATTCTTTATTTTAGCTGTATTCACACAATATCTGTAATTATGTTATAAGTAAAAAATACAATAAAAAGCAAACCATTTTAATATGGATTTATATGGAGGATTTACATTTTGGTTGGTATTTTATTTCATTGGATTAGCCGCCTGTACGAGTATCACAAAACGCGATTCAATTGATGATTTCACCACTCATGACTTTAATAAATATCATCATTATGATTACTTAGTCGCCACACTTGATGGCTTACAGAATCAGTTTCCTGATCTTGCGCGAACAGGATCTATCGGTCAATCAGTACAAAAACGTGAACTAATGTACATAGAAATTTCTAAAAATGTCGCACAAGAAAGCCCAGGAAGGCCAAAGGTCAAATTAGTGGGAAATATGCATGGCGACGAAACCATCGGTAGAGAAATTTTGATCTATCTCGCCCAACATCTACTTGGGAAATACGAAACAGATGACAGGGCGAAATATATCGTGGATAATGTAAGACTATTCATCATGCCTTCTTTGAATCCTGATGGGTTTGAGTTGGCAATTGAAGGTTCTTGCACGTCGAGGTATAAGGGACGAGAGAACGCGAATTCCGCTGATTTAAATCGCAATTTTCCAGATCAATTTGACACCCCAGTTGGTGCAAAAAAACGGAAACAAAGCCGCCAACCCGAAACGACAGCAATGATTGATTGGATACTGAAAAACTTTTTCGTGCTTTCAGCAAATTTTCACGCTGGTAGCGAAGTAGCAAGTTACCCATTTGATGACTCTGCAGATCATTCTTATGGACATGAAAGCCAAGCTCCTGATGATATATTTTTCCGATACATGGCGCGTACTTACGCCGATAAACATTTAACAATGAGTAAACCTGGACAAAAATGCGGGACAGATCAGTTTGAGAATGGAATTACTAACGGTGCTAAATGGTATGACGTTCCAGGCGGTATGGAAGATTTCAATTACTTACAAGGAAATTGTTTTGAAGTTACATTGGAATTGACATGCTGTAAATATCCGATGGCCTCTGAGTTGCAACGGGAGTGGGGAAAAAATAAAGAAGCTCTTCTAAGTTTTGTGGAGCTTATAAAATCCGGTATTTGGGGGTTTGTAATTGATGGTGAAACAGGAGAAAAGCTACAAAATGTCATTGTTGAAGTTGTAGGCATTGAGAAAAACATAACAACAGCGGAACATGGAGATTTTTGGCGCCTTCTTATCCCTGGTTTTTACGATTTAAAATTTCATCGTGAAGGATATAAAAGCTCGGAGCCGATACCTATGATTGTGGTACAAGGAACGCCAAGTAGAATGAACGTTTCTCTCTATAAAGAGAATTCATCATTTGAAGAAAATTCTGAAGTGCTCCCTACTACGTCTAGTGGTGAAGAGATGATATCAGTATCCCTCAACGAAGATACGGATCTCGATAATGAAGGAAAAACAAAAACGATCGTTGTTTCACCAGACATAAACACACCTAGTTCGGCCACCACGGAACCAGTTAACGAGGAAAGCAAACTGAACGAAATTGTCAATATAGTTGGAAACATTGAATCACAACTGGAGTTCCAATATCACGACCACGAAGCGCTGACAAAATTTTTAACAATTTATTCGCAACTGTTTCCTTCGATTACAAGACTTTACAGTATTGGGGAGTCTGTGCAAGGAAGAGAGCTTTGGGTTTTAGAAATTTCTGACAATCCTGGGGTTCATGAACCCGGGGAACCAGAGTTCAAATATATAGGAAACATGCACGGAAATGAGGTCGTAGGTCGCGAGATTTTATTGAATTTGATAACGTATTTATGTTATGGATATGGTGATGATAAAAAGGTGACTCATATTGTCGACAACACGCGAATTCATATCATGCCTACGATGAACCCCGATGGGTTTGAAATTGCACAAGAGGGCGATATAGAGGGCACAAAAGGCCGTGAAAACGCAAATAAAGTCGACCTGAATCGTAATTTTCCAGATCAATATTATCCAAACAGAATCCGTGACCCAGAAGTTGAAACTGTAGCTATCATGAAATGGCTCAAATCGTACCCATTTGTCCTTTCGGCTAATTTACATGGAGGATCCCTTGTAGCAAATTATCCGTATGACGATTTACCAAATAGGGGCCAACGGAGAGGGGACCATGGTTACAGCAAGTCCCCCGATGACAATATCTTTATCCATCTTGCGAAAGTTTACTCGCAAGCGCACCGTACCATGCATAATGGTAAACCATGCGTTGATTTATTTCCCGGGGAAACTTTTGACGAAGGAATCACGAATGGTGCGGATTGGTACTCGGTCGCTGGCGGAATGCAAGACTGGAATTACGTGAATACGAATTGCTTTGAGATTACTCTTGAATTAGGATGCATGAAATACCCTTGGCACAAAGATTTGGAAACTTATTGGAAGGACAATAAGAACGCACTTGTTGATTTTATGGACGAGGTCCACAAGGGGGTGACGGGATTCGTTTTTGACACAAATGGGGTGCCGATTTCAAACGCTGTAATTTTAGTTCAGGGAATTAAGCATAACATCACAACAGCTAAGGATGGTGATTTTTGGCGCCTCCTAGTGCCAGGAGATTACAAATTAACCGCTTTTAAAGATGGATATATTGCAAGAAGTTTTGACGTGAAAGTCACTTCTGATTACGCTGTGGTACAAAATTTCACTCTTCTTAAAGAAGGGGAAACCCCAATTTTACCAAACGAAAATCCAAATCCTCCCCAAAATGGGAGCGTGGAAATAAGCGTTGGCGGCATCGTGTGGTCAACTAAAGACCAGGGTTACATATTCGGAATATCGAAGGTGCTGATTATCACTGTAGGAGTTGCAATAATCGCGATGGCAATCTGTATATTCTTTGTCGTTAGATTAAACTACCAAAGACACGATTACACGAAAGTAGACCAAGGTTTTCATCGTATTAACAAAACTTTGGATGAGTACAGCGATCAGGTTCCTATACCGGAGTCAAACTCTATGCTCGCTGATAAAGACAGAGTTTATCAAGAAGTCTACCACGATGAGTCTTCTTCTGAGGGTGAGGAGGACGTTATTTTTGCCCCCAAAACTGTATAATGCCTCTAGTGGTCAGATTTTTCAATATAACAATAAACTTTATTAATAGTGACCAATATTATTTTAATTATGCTCTCGTTATGTCTTATTCAAATTTGGGATTTTTCTCGAATCGAAAGATTATTTCTCAGTCTTGGTAAGTTACAGAACATTTTTACTAACACAAAGTTTACTGTAATAACTGAAACAATTCTTAAATATCAATAAACGGTGCTTTTTTCAATATATATTTAGAATTTTCGGAATGTTAAAATATAGGTAATTTAAGCGATTTAAGAGACTTGCTTTTTGCTAACGCAAATATATTTCTGTAACGTTTCGTCTTACCAAGGTCAGACTTCATCAGGCAAACATAGTCCAACTAAAAAATTTGTGTTAGTTTACAGCAGGTTTCCTAAATCACGTAAATGATCTTCTTCACTCTTCGACATCATTCTTGCGTTATATAGAGTAACCCCTCGCCCGCAATAATAAAAAAAACAGGTCATTTATCTTATAGAAAACATAAATTTTTATGCAAAGCATCCCAGGTTGCTGAAACTTTTGGGTGTAATCATACACGAACAGAAATTTCAAATAAATTGGCTTTCTTTTTGCGGAAGTAACTGCGATATTTAAATTGCTTTTTTTTGGAAAGAGAGGATTACGCTGTATACGGATCAAATTCATAAAGCATTCTGTTTGTTTTTTTCATTTTTTCATATCTTCATTATATTCCGTCTATAGCAATTATTTTACGACTATAGATTTTTGGATAAAACATTATTGAAATATCAAGAGAATTTTGAAAATTCCTGCCCATAGAACCCCCACTTGTGCCTTTATTTAAGTTAAAATATTGTGTTGTTTTATGATGCCGATTATGTAATGTTATTTTGGTTTATTTGTCAAGTGTTTTACTCTAAACCAGGGGTTCTCAACCTTTTCCCTGTTATTAAGTACCCCCCGAGTCATGAAACAATCAACGCGAACCCAGGCCATTCGAAATGCAATTGGTATTATATGTCCATTCCCATTTCAAACCTGCTGTCTGTATGGAAGCCCAATTTTCATATATAAATGAGGTCGTTCAGGTAATTTTGACTGTACACACGTCCCTTTAAGACCATACTTCGATTCTTTCCTGTTTATTTTATTTGAAGCCTCTTATGTTATTATTCAACTTATAATATCTAAAGTAATCTATCTAACTCTTTCTATTCTCTTATTTTAGTCAAATAACTGAAGCTTTTATCATTGTAGCATTACTACAAGGGCTGTTGGATGAGGAAACAATAGTTACTCTCGTAGTTTGTGTACCAGGTTAGGGTTAGGCCATAATATTATTCCGATTTTCCATAATATTTTTTCCGGTTTTGGCCATCCCCATCCATAGCTTTTCCTTGCAGTTTTCTGTATGTTATCTAGTCTTGAAACAGCTAGGCATTTTTACTGTAGCAATTCAAGAGTTTCAACACAAAAGGCCGAAAGTTTACATTTCCAAAGAAAATTATTTGAAAATGTTACGGAGTAAATAGATCCTTTTTTAATTTTAGTATCTGATCATAATGAACCCAAACCCGTGGCATGTGTGTCACTTACGGCACATGTAGCGATTTATTATGGCCCGCCGAACTTCACGTTTTAAGGCATTTGTGCTCTAGACGCCATCAATTGTTACTTATCACTGTTAAAGCTTGTGTATATTCATAACATTTAAATTATATCGGTATCTTGTGGGAGATCCACTTTCTCGCGTCGCGATTATCTTTCCCTTAATTTTGACCTCATTTATGGTAGTCGACTGGGTTTGATGCATTATTCGAAAGTATTTCGATAAAAATTACAAAGGTTTGAAAATCAAAAACTGCACTTCCCTCATTTTTATGACATTAAGCCCGCGAATTATATCCATGTTTTTGTTATTATACTACACTCACCAATTCATACGCCATTGGCCTCTCTGTAAATTATTTTTTCTGATATCATAATGTGTGAAGTTGTTTTTGCTATTTGAGATCTACTGTAGTGTATTTGATGATATTTTAATAATTTTATCTTTTGTTGTCAAGTAATATAGATAGTTGTCCAAAATCGAATCTTTTTTAATTCGAATCGAATATTATTGCGCAATCTTAAATCTGTCTCAATTTTACGATAAAAACCCCCTCTTGATATTGTGATAACATATGTGGAATTACAACTGAAATACTACCTTTATTTGGACTTCATTTCACTGATTCGCAAATTACCTGCCTTCGATTTTGAATATACGGTTCGCTTGGAAAGCCCTAATAGTTCGGAGATAGTTTAACCTACCGTGTTCATAAAGTCTTCAAATTCCAATTTAAAAATATTGCGACTTCATCACAAAATTTTGAAATTATATCAAGACTTTATGAACACCCTGAAAATTGCCATTATTCTTCAGATTTTTTTAGTTAAACGGATTTAAATAGGGTATGATTTGTAATTTTATGAGTCAGAGATGAATTGCTACCCGATTAACGATTTTTATTTCGGCATCAGCCCTTCGTTAACAATAATATTGTGTTTGAACTTACTTCTCATGATTTGTGTATGTTTGATATTTGCCGGTTGGAAAAAACTCTAGCTGTAACTGTGAAAATATCAAGCCATTATTCAACGAACGTAACAGATTTAGTGTAACATACGCATTGTATTTTCTCAAGGAGCCATATCAAAGTTAAAATGCCCTCTGTAGTAAATCAACCATGCTAGTAGTTTTATGACCTCATAGACGTTATTTTTTGCTGATTGCACAAATTTTTGTCTGAGGGATTTAGTGGGAAGTTTTACATTTTCTGGAGGGAAATTATCGTTAATTAAGGTTAATTTGCGAAGGTTTTATGACCACATAGGCGTTAATATTTGCTGACTTTTTTGTTCAAGGAATTTCGTTTGAATATAATTATCTTGTGATAGGATTTCTGTCTTTTGGAGGGAAATTATCGTTAAGGTCAAAATTAGCCAATCTTATCATATTCCAAATGCAAAATCTCATACAAATATAAAATGGTCTGCCATATGTGCCTCATATAGCGTGTTTTCTTACTTTCCTGTAGATATATCCTTTTAGAATAATTGATCAGAATTCTTTCGAAGCCTATTTTCTGATTTGAATGTTTTGTGACACTTTGCGTAATTTTATTGTGAAAATAGCAAATTTAAAACATCAAAGTCCAAATTTAACTGTTCAGATGTAAGGTAAAATGGTTCACCATATATCAACCCAATTTATAGTTTGTCATTTATAGAGTAAGGGAATTAAATCCATCACACCCAACCCAGAAAGCAAATAATAGTCAAACTTTAATGTCACAGCTTAAGCCTTTGAATTATATCAAAAAGAAGTGTGCCAGCACAATCTGGCATTTAAAATTATGGGCTTTTTTCTATACCTCAGTCACAATTCAAGTTGTGAAATTGAATTCCCAGCCCAGAAAGCAAATAATAGTCAAACTTTAATGTCACAGCTTCCCATCAGCCTATAAATTATTTCAAAAAGAAGAGTGCCAACTTAATTTGGCCTATTTCATACCTCGGTCACCATTATATTGGTAGGCCACTGTCGGGATACTATACATGGAATTGTCATTGTTGTTTATGAAATCATCTATGACTCAACTCGGCATATTATTCAGAGTTTTGTCGCGATTAGAGTTGACCCGAAGCTGACTTACGAATAACTTTATTGAGTACCGTATATTGCATTTAGGACACATTTATGTGCAAATGACTTTAACACTATCTTAAAATTTCTATTAATATGTCTGCAATTGCTCTGCTGGTAAATTGGTCCTGATATTTATAAATAGACATTTAAAGAGAATTCAAACTGTGTCGAAACCTTTACACATGAATGGTAATCAATATTGTTATTTATGTCATTAAACCTAAATAAAATATCTATTTCAGTCAAATTATTCGAATTACAGCGCTCAAATTACACAAATATTTAGTATCAGTATTCGTATATACATCTGTAATTTATAAATAAACCTATCTCGATTACGTTTTAAAATAATATTTGCCAATATGGAATATATTCTGAATAATCCAAAGGATAAATTTATATGAAATTATTATTGTTAGAGAAAAATCCATTTCAATAATTCAGAAATGGTAATTATTGTTTTCGTATAGAATGATTCATTTTTGTACAAGAAAATTAATGTGTCTGGCACTGACATGAGCAACTCAACAGCTCAAGGAAAATTAATCCAGGTGTTAATGGCTGCCAGTTTATTGATCGAAATATAATTGGCACACTAAGATGATAATTACACTTTTATCCACTTCAATTTGCTCCAGACAAATTTTGGAATTTTTCCCAAGTACTGTATAATTAGTATTGAATTTGGTTGTTGTGTAGAAGAACACATAGTACTCAATGTATATCAAATAATAAATAAGAACGCAATTTATAAAACTATTTTGTTCAATCATTCTTGTGACACCAGTTAGACGCGTGTGGGGCAGGCGTGGGCAACCTTTTTCGGCGCGCGTGCCAAAATCGACTAAATTTAATGACAAAATTCTTCCGCATGCCGACCAAAATTGTCGAGATCTCACTCAGTTGTGACATCATAATATATTTTTTTTTGTAGCCATGTGTCATGAAAGGACAAAAAGAGTTTGAATAAATAAAGTATTGTTAACAAACAATAATGAATAAATGGACACAGAGTTTCATCAGATAGGAGTTAAAACTCTTGCGAAAGAGAATGATCTCGTTTGTGCCGAATAAATGAGCTCGCATGCCAGGGGTTGCCCACCCCTGGTGTCGAGAATAGGTTCTTAAAATGCACCATTTGGAGCACTAGGACTCTGTGAGAGAAACCGAGGGGCTCTGTGAGCTATTCGTTTAGTTATTCCAGACTGGATATTTTTTAAATACAAAGCAGCAAATGCGTTAAAAATGGTGATTTTGATTGACATGGGAAACATTTATTGTTAGTTTTTTGTGTTTGTTTTTATAAAATTATTGTGGATCTTCGTAAATAATAGTCAATCTCTTCAAATTGTAAAGTCTGAAAAAATTTCCATTTGAAAATATCACAAAGATAATATAGGCACATTTTAAGCTTGTATTCAATCATAGTTAGGAAAGACATTCGCCAAAGTATTTCAAAGCAAGTTGCCAAACTTAAACTCATGTTACTTACCAAAGTCATTTTCGCACACCAGTCTTTTGAAGACATTGACAAATATTAAATTTCGAATCAATTTTGATATTCATTTTGTTTTTGACAACTTTGATTGCTACAAGATTATTTTGGATTCCACCACTAAATGTTTTTGGAATCTTTTCAAATATAATTTGTGGTGTATTTGGAAGTTATTAAAATGTATTTTTAAATATAATTTGGATTAAAATTAACAATGTTTTTCCCCTATATCCATATTATTTCCTTTGTAAAGAGTTTTCCGAAACTTTTCTCCATTTTAAAAGTATTGACTCTATACTTAGTACGAATACTTCCTGATATTTTAGAATTATTTATTTCTCTAGTATGGCCATATACCTGGTACCATGGCCCAGGGGGAATCAAATAATTCTAATTATTTTTGGCAAAATGTCTATTCTGGGGATTCGGATATTTAAAACAATTGTTTTTCTTTAGATTTAATCTTTAAAAACCTTTTTTTTTTGAAATTATAATTCACTCAAGTATCTATACTCTGTACTTAAAACAAAGAAGAATAGTGTATTTGAGATTATTGGTAATTGTAAAACGTTTTTGTATTCAGATTATTTTTTTTGTGTCTTGAATTGTTAAATCTAGGTTTCCAGAAATGTTCAACCATTATTGAAGCCCTTATAATTCAATATTCTTTAAGATCCACTGCTTAATTTAATACTCTATGCTATGATTTTACAGTCTAAAATATTGCTTTTTTTTAATTCCATGTCGCCTAGACCAGGGCTACTCAACTAATTTTACCAAAGATCCGAATACAAAACTTGAAAATTAGTGAGGTCCGTTTTTTCAGAAATCATATTTTGAAATCCTTGGACGCACACTTCCTCGACTGACTAATGATTATTCGCTAATTAGCGCATTGTTTATGGTTCTTTTGCATATATAGTCAGATGCAAATTATAAAATGATCTTCAAAACTATAAAAGTCATTCAATAAACGAAAACCTTCACATATCCAAAGTGAGGCGAATAATCCAAAATGAAGAATTTGGTGCGGTCCGAATCTAATACTCAAAAGGTCCGAATTCGGACAGCGGTCGGCTTGTTGAGTAGCCCTGTCTTAGACTGTTTAGAACAGTCCAAAGTTTAAATAATTTTGAATTCTTGTAGTGTGCTTCCATGCGTGAACTGTCAGAATAAGACTCATCTTAAATTGAGGACTCTTATTCTGTCAGTTCAATAGTGAAGGAGTGAAGCACAAATCCTTTTGATTGCTGCTGTATATATGCTTTACCTTGAGCTCTTTCTACACAATCTTGTAGTGGGTTTTGATTTGCTTATTTCTGTTTTTGTTGTTTGTTATATGGGATTATATACGAGAGCAGTGGGGTCAAGTCATTCGAAGTTGGGGGGGCAAATAGTTGATATAATTAATTTTATATTTCAAGAAATACTCATTTGACAATTTGGTATTTAAAGTCATAATTAAATAGTATTTGAATGCTATATCTGATGTAGTGAATTATATTTCAGTTTAAAGAAAATGGAAATATTTTATTTGAGATATTATAATTTTGGCGGTCTGACAAAAAATAAGAAATTCATCGAAATAACTTTGATTTATTGCAACAATTCTGGATTATCAAATAAAAATTGATGAATTCACAAAGTTATCACAAGTTTATCAGTTGAATTTAGAACATATTCCATATTATTTCAGAATGGTAAATTGTTTGGTTTTGGCCCCTGTACTTTTTCTAGTATTGCCCCAATTTCATAATTGAAGCATTAACATGTTATTGTATGATGCAGTACAGCCTTAAAATACTGATACCTGTTCAAGTAATTATGCGATATAATTTTTCTATCAAGTTTTTATTGTCTCAATGTGCTATGCTCTGTAATATATATGTTTCTGCCACTGAAAATTATTCTTGTGTAATAAATATATAATTATAAAGAAATATGTCTCGGAATTGATTATTACTGGGTAATATACTCGTCCATTTTAGTGGAAACATCAACTTTATTTTGGTCGTTCTGGCATAAAACTCAATAACAAACAAAATGCGGAGATATCTGGAAGGCGAGCATAACTTGGATAATCATGGAAGGCAAACATACAAGTACGTGCTTAACTACCAAAAACAGTGGGAGTGCACGGTACAATAAACCATGATATGAAACTGAGCAATATGAACATCTGGGCTATGGAGCTGCTAGTCATATTATCATTTGGGAGAGAGACATCGTTTGGGTCAGAGTCATTTTTTTTTTCAAAATTCAAGAGTCGAACTGGAGTTTTAGCCATGTCTATTAATGTTGAAACCCAAAAAGCATCAAGTTAACAAGGCGTGCACACAAATTCTTGTTATCAAATATTCCATTTATTGGGGATCGAAGTTGAAATTCTCTTCAACCTGGAGCGAAGAGCTCAGTTTCTAGTCAAAATTTTATTTGCTGACAATGGTTAGGACCGGTAACCTGATGAGAGGTCGTGGTTCGCCATAAGTTTACGCAGTCATTCCACTCCCCGGGATAAATATGTAAATCCTACCCAGTTGGAGTAAATTTTTTTATGTTGCACATTGTCAATACAGTAAGGATATGCTGTGCATACGCAATTGAAGACGTAGAGACATTTTAGTGGGGATATTGTACGTTTCAAACCTTACTCGAGGTTTTGTTCGCTCTCCCGATTCTATAATCAGTTACTTTTATTTTTATCTATTAGTATTATTATCATCGTCTACTGCTGATTATGGAGTCGAAATAAACTTATACTTATACATCAATTACCATTTTTTTCATAACTTCCATATGGTATATTTGCAATACCGTTAAAATTACAGTCAGAAATCAGAATCGATATGTAGTGATTTGTAAACATAATACTCATAATTTCAGAAAATCCTAGCCCGAAGGTCGGATTGATATTTTATTTTCTCACGATTTAAGTTAGGAGTCGAGATTGTGATTAAACGGCGCGATCAGCTGACTTTCAGCAATAAGCGGTCAAATTTTTATCGCTTGATGCTGCCATCTGGCGGATATTATGAACAATAAAATTTTTGAACTGGGTCATCCCAGTTAAAATAATACAAGTAAGCTGGAAACATGCATACAAACCATAATTAAAATATAAAAGTCAATAATAATCTCTCTAATAAATTAAAAGAGAGAGATTTTGTTCCAGATTCACTCTCTCTATTTCCAAGGAGGTAACTATATCATTAACCCGTATTACCGGCTTTTCTCCATCGGAAAAAATATATAAGTCCCAAAGTGCTTAACACTATTTTTCAATAAAATAATTGAAAAGGGCAAGATCGTAATCAATAAAAAAATGAATTTTTGACTCCAATCACCATCTGGTGTTCTGAACAGATGCGTCATCGGAACTGCAAGAGCAATAAAGCATCGAAGCGTATCAGAACAGAATATTGTCATCACAACCAGATGATAAAACTGCTGTCCGTTACGCTCCGTCGCTTGGTTCACTGAGATAATAAAAGTATTGAAACTGAGTCATTTCTTTGACAAGGACAATTTTATTCTTGCCGGGGGAAGGTAAAAACCCCATATTAGGCCAAAAGTACATTCGGTAAAGCAGTATGAAAATGGTCTGCTTTTAATGCCGCGGTTTTAGGTACAGTAGGTATGTAGAGTGAACGGACGCGAGGGGAGTGGGTACCGTATCATTTTCATAAATCATTTTTATAAATCCAATTTGGCAATGGATTTGAATTTTGCAAAAAAAAAAGTACCGGTACCGTAGGGGGGCGAGTTGTTCGCCTACGGTAACGTACCCCGGTGGCTGGTACAACTGTTATAACTTGGAGGGTACCGGTACCAGTACAGGAATATAGGTAAGTCTGTAAGTATCGTGGGTATAATTTTATTTCAACTACATAGTCAACATAACAAAGATAAAAAACTGGTAATTGATGAAAACAATTAAATAAAAACTGATTATGAAATCAGGAGAGCGAACAAAACCTACCTAAGTTCTGGAGTTTCAAAATTGGAATTCACATACCGGTACAAATAATTGGGTCTCGTGTAGTATGTATGTATGTATGTTTATTCGTCTCGTAAAAGCAAAAACACAGGAGTTAGTAAATATCAGCATTGAAGAAGGGATGTATACACAAGACCAGACTGGCCTAAAACACATGAACGTGCGACATACACCCCTTATGATAAGCATAAAATGCAATAAATCGAATAAGTATAATATGGTCCTTCATACAGACAGTTGTGCGAGGAGGGTGGATTAGGCAACATGGGTAACGGTGGAGTATGCCCAACTGTTTGTACAAAGGAGTTGGTAGGACAAGACAACATCAATAAATAGAGACAATACAACATGAAATATAATACATAATATATATACATGACGTCATGATATGATGATATATGATATACATGATCAACATGATATATATACATGACGTAGTTCCGTACATAAATCGATAAAGTACTTCTAATGGCAGAATGGGCGTAGCATAACAATTTTTGTTTATGTCGATCTTAACCCCCATCTGACTGCGTCATCCAAAAATAACGTCATTATGATGTCACAGTGACGTGACGCGCGATCACCCGAAATTGAACAAGCTATTTTTCTCGCCACAACGATATGAGAGAGATCGGTGCCATCAATGGTCTCTTTATCGTAGACGCAGATGCCATTTCGGGCGATTGTGGGTGTACTTTGGCAAGCTCTATGACGTCATAGTGACATAATTTTTGAATGGCGTATTCACTTGGGGTTTAGGATTGACATGAGCAAAAATTCTTATGCTACAACCACTAGAAGTACTTTAGGTACAAAACTACACGAGCCCCCAAATAATTTTAATTTACTACAGTACTATTTTATAGACAAAAATATTGGGCCATGTTCACAAGGCGCGGACGATCACCCGAAATCTATTTTTCTCACTGTAACGATCCCGGTATGAGAGAGATCGCTGGCGTTAGTGAGTTCGTTTTTGTTGGTAAAGATGCCATTCTGATATTTCGGGCAATCGCCTTTATACAATCACATCAGCAAATAGGGTGGGAGTTGACCTCATGGTCGTATCACTCCCTCCCGTCTATACCAAAGCAATTTTATTTGTGTTATGTATTTTTCTCGTATTGATGACTGTTAGTTTTTGATAAAAATAACATAATCTCTTTCCACGAAATATCAAGTATATTTATGAGCTTTTGTTAGATTTTGCCAAAAGGCAGACTGTTGTAACTTGAAATGTCAGACTTGAGCTGCTTTAATATAATAAAAAGGGATAGAGGGGCATAGTAGCTTTGTTACTTGGTAAAGGAAACTGTAATCGCTGGTCAGTGCTGCAGTGAATTACTGAGTTGTCGGTATAAGTCTCTAATAACACTACGGCACACTATACAGATCGAGCGACATTGTCTCGTTTCAGAGAAACCCATTTTACCGATGATCAGACACCCCTTTGGGAGACGTCTGGACATTGTTGTCCTCAATATCGGTTTTAATACAGTATAATGAAGTTGCGCAAAATACTACAAAAAAGCGCAATTTAATAACGTCATCATTGAATTCCTCAGGAAAAAAGAATCCGATTTACCGAAGGAAAAAAATTTTTACCGTGGCATTCGAGAGTTTTTAGCAAAAGAGGCAAGTTTGGTCACGTGGCGGCCGCGATTAATTCAGATTATTATTGTGACAAGCATGGCGCGATATGAAGCATCTGACGTGTTGCCAGACGCCCCTTGCTGGTGAGACACATGGAGGGTTTGTTTTATTGAGCCAAATGGAGGGGAATTCTTGGAATTTGAACAGTGTGCCGTACTGAATAACCCCGAAGTTACAGGTCATTCGAGTTCAATTCCAAGTCGTGTTGAGTACCGTAGTCCGAGTCCGGATAATTTTTGACTCCACTCCAACTTGAGTCGAATGAATAACTCAAACCATTCCAAATACTGAATTAGGAATTTGCACCCATATCTTCAATTAATTCATTTCTTCTTATTTTACCAGATCATCATTTATTTTCAAAAATATTTTAAAAATGGATTCCAACTCACAAAGAGCTGCAAGCGACATGTTAGAGGACGCCTTGCAACAATTTGACAGTATGATCGGAGCTGGCACAGGTGATACGAGCAGTGCACACAGCTTTATCGGGGACGGTTACCATGGCATCGGACAGTTATTAGACGATTTACGCATCAGCATACAGGCGGAACAAATATCACCTGAAGACAGTGGCAAACTGCTGTCGATACTCCCAATGGATACATTAAATTTTTATCAAGGACTTTTCAAATGTTCGACAAACGATAACACAGATTCGAAAATTTTACAAAAATTTCGTAACGAAAATGATAGTTTAACGCTACAAGTTAGCGTCCTCTCCGATCAAGTTGAACTGCAAATGGAAAAAATGGAAGAGCTTATTTCTGGCAATAAAGATTTGCAGAGTAAACTTTTATCCACAGAGGAACTATTGCAAAAAGAAATTCGTGCAACTACTGAGCGTGAACGAGAGCTAGTTTCATTACGAGAGCAGCTGCGACAAAAAGAGAGGGAGTTGGAAAAAAGAGAAAGAACGGTGAAAATTACGCCACCTAGTGTTATAAATCAAGTCCAAGAAAATGAAGTTTTATCTCCGGATGAAGGAATTGGGCAAGATAATGGAGAGGATACGCATGACGGCCCACGACCATCGATATTAAAAATGCCAGTACCAAATGCTACTTCGACACCCATTTCCACGTTGCCTGGCAACGAGGGTCGTCATCATGCTAAATTTGATGATTCGACACCTCAGAAACCTCCAGGACCTCTAGTGGAAGGCGTAGTCACTCCGAAGAAAACTCCAAATCAACAAATTAGGTCTGTTAGTCTTGAACGACTTCATGGGAAAAAGATTTTGCCTCTTGATGAATCCCAGGATGTTCATCGCAGTTCAAGCCAATCTGAACATTTAAATTCAATATTAAAAGACTCCTCCACACCGGTTTCAAAAAATATTTCAAATAATAAAAGTGACGGGAAGTCGAACAGTTCTCCTAATTTGGCAATTACTGAGCAGCAGGGTGATGCGAAAATTGAACAAGATCAAAATTTTGATTTGGATGAATTCAGGCATGGCGATAATTCCCATGAATCACCATTTCAAAACCGTAAAAAGCACGGCTTTCGGAAATTTTTTAATAGTTTTCGACTTCGTAGAAGTAATTCTTCGAACTTACAAAGTGATTCTGCGTCTTTACAATCGTGGGGAGGTAAATCTGGAAAAAATCGAAATAATGTGAAAGTATCTGAAAATCCACAAAATTTTACAAGAGGCGGATTTCGTGCAACCGCTGGGCCTCGATTAGGCGCTTCAAAACCAAAATTGACGCAGAATACTACATCGCCATTCGCCCAATGGAACACCACCGAAGTTACTGATTGGCTAATTGACTTAGGCCTCGAAGCGTACGTCGAAAATTGCAAAAACTGGGTGAAAAGTGGGGCGACTTTACTCCAAGCTACAAATCAAGACATTGAAAAAGAATTGGGGGTCCATAATCCCCTACATAAAAAAAAATTAATGTTATCATTGCAAGCTTTGGGTGATGAAGATGAAATTGGCGGGGAGATTATCAAAGGGGTCGGCATGGATCACGTGACTGTGGCAAGATGGTTGGATGATATTGGGCTCCCACAATACAAAGAAGCTTTTCATAAAGCTCGTATCGATTGTCGGATGTTGCACCATTTAACAATTGGCGATTTACAGCGGTTAAGGATCACAAATCTTTTACATACTTTGAGTTTTAGACGTGCTATTTATACTCTGCGGAATATAAAATTTGATCCGTTGCAACTCAAACGCCGCCCGGTGGATGAAACAGTAGAAAAAGAAGATGTTGCGTTATGGACGAATCACCGTGTTATGGAATGGTTGAGATCCATTGATTTAGCAGAGTACGCTCCAAATTTGCGTGGGAGCGGAGTTCATGGTTCACTGATCATAATGGAACCACAATTCAGTGGTGAAATTCTGTCTTCGTTACTGCATATTCCGACTTCGAAATCATTGTTACGGCGCCATCTTATTGCGAAATTCAATGAATTATTACCACCGGATTCACTAGCTTCAAAGCAAAAAGAAGCTTCTTCGATGTTAAACATTGCAGCTAAAGTCAAAATTGGCCGAAGGTCATTCGGTCCGCTTTCAAGGTTAAAAGGATTGGGGAGTAGCGGATCTCGTGAATTTTCAAACGGGGAGTACGTGTGTCCATTTGAGACAAAAAACAGCGCCTCTCACAACTCTTTCGGTGCACACAGGAGAAATTTAGGAACGAAATTACATGGCGGGAAAAAAGGCAATACCTGGGACATATCCGATGAGCAAGACATTGAACCTGATGATATCAGCGATGATTCAACTGGCAATATTAAAATTGTGGAACTTGACGAAAGTGCGACGAAAAAAATTGGAGCGTTCTCAGCTGAGCTCGCAACAATGACTAATAAGTGGAGTGAGGATTAGCTTGCACTCTGTTTAAATACGGAATAAATGCTTCTGAAATTCAATGCAAATTAGGTTTGTTTCAAAACACGGGTGTACAACATTTTTTTTTAACGGTGGGCCATATAATCAACATCAGACATCCAGCTGTACCACACAAAAAAATTAGTTCTTCCATGTACACAACTGATTGAAATATTCTCACAATGAAAAGGATATTGCTTAGCCTTACAGTAATAAATGCAATGGATAAAATAGATTTATCGCAGCGACAACATCGAAAAACATGTATTTTTACCTCTTTAAACATAAACTGTTAGATTCAGATTTTATGCTTGATGGGGAAATAATATGAGTGTTGACGAGGGCAACACTAAATGGCTTTGCGGGCTGGGTTATGGCTCGTGGCCGCCTGTTGCTCACCCTTGATTTAAATGATCTTATTGGTATATGGATGATCAAATTGCTTGAAATGGGGGTTGTTCAAGTTTATGAAGTACCCCTGCTATATTCAGTTTAATGCTAGTGGCCTTGATTTAAGTATTGCATTCTGTATTCATCGAATTCTGACCGAACTTTAGTGGTATCGCTATTCGCAAACAGAGTTCCCTTTCATATTTGCTCTGAGCGATAGGCATAAATAACCGTCAGATGAAAAATAATTTTTCAGAGTAGATTACTGAACACTGCTTATCTGTCTTCCATTTATGAATTTTTTTAATCAATAAGTTTTATTTGAAGTCTGTAATTGTATCAATCAGTATTTTATTTTTAGTTTTTGTTGCTTTATCAACTCTTTTCTGCATTTCTAAATAATGAAATAACCGCGCTGTGAAAGGGTGAACTATACTTTTATCTGGTGCTATTTTTAATTTTCATTTCAGACAATTTTGATTTGAAAACTGTGGAGTAGACGCACGCCCTTAGTTAGGCGATTATAAGGCTGTGAAGTCTGGAGAAATTTACCATCTGATCCGGTCAGAAAAATGTTATCTTCGGCTCCCAAATTCGAGATGTGCGTAATTTAGACTTGGACTACCGACTTTGGGTTAAAAACAAAATTCCCTTTAGTTTTGGACTCTGAAAAAATCAAATCTGATGACAAAAATTTTTAGGTACGCAAACCGTTAATAGACTGTTGAAAGTGCTTAGTAAAATGATGCTTTCCAAGTTTCTTTAAAAGTTTTAACTCCAAGTCCAGCTCCAGATTTTGAATAAATCAAATTTTGATACTTTAGTACAACCTGCGGCTAGCGAGAAAAAATTGTTCGGCCCTCTATGAAATGCCAATTCTGAATGGGTTTTTAATTTAATTTAATCTGATATTAGCGAGTGATTCCAATCCTATTGCATTGCAAAGCCTATACCTGAGTTATCCTTTCGGGGTGCTCTCGTAGTATGTGTACCAAGATGGCACACAATCTGAACATAGTATATGTACCAGGTTAGGGTTCAGGTTGTGCGCCATCTTGGTGCACATACTACTGTGTACCCCGTACCCTTGTTGGTACAATGCACCACTACATCCAAAATTCATCGTTTACATTTCCAACCAGCAAGAGTTCAATTTCCAGCAAAAAATGATTCTTAAAATTTTTTCTCTTTTCTCTTTTTTGTTTATCTGCCAGTTTTTATTTCATATAGCTTGTTAATAATCATATAAATTATGTAATTTTTGCCTTGAATTCATTTATTGCTTTTTATTTACCGGTATTTCATCAATATACACTTGGAGTAATGGGCCACATCGCCGAAATAGTTCATTAATCATCTCTAAGATAATGATAGTTTTATACATCAACATACACCTGGCGCATTATACGCCCCATCATTGATATAACTTCTCATTTCTGCTCTTCTTATGGGTGAGTTCGTGTGATGATGTGAAATAGCTTTTAAAAAAAAACATATAATGAGATTAGGTTGGGGTATGGACCCCCCCTCACTACACCTATTGGTATGACCTATCTTGTATAACCCCAATGTGATAAATTTGTGAATGAAGCTAAGATATTAATAATATTTCCTGTTAAATTCACTGGGTCATTTTATAAATTCACGTTTGCTAAAATTTTTCATTTTGTTTTTTACCTTGGTGCCTTGAGTTATTTGTGTTGCATTATAACTGGACTGGCCCTACATAATACAGGACTAAATATGATAAATTTTAGAATGAAGATAATTGAAAATATTTCCTTAATTTACAGGATAAAATTGTGAATGTACCGAATATTCTCACATTTAGGCTGACCCCCTAAAAACAACCCTAAAACGGCGAATTTATAAGAATTATGGGGGCTCCCGAAGTATGCGAACCAAGATGGCGGACATCGGAATGTAGCATGTGTACTAGGTTAGGGTTAGGCCATAATTTTAGGTATAAATACTACGGGAGGCTCTTGGCTAGTCTTCGAACTGATAATAGGACTAAAATTGGAAAAAAATTATCGCTTAACCCTAACCTGTTACCCATGTTACGTTCCGATGTCCGCCATCTTGGTTCGCATACTTCAGGAGCACCGAATTATGTTATGCGTGTATAAGCCAAATTTTTAGTGTGATCATAGTTATGCGCGTATACACCGAACCCTTAGTTTGGCAATTTTTTTGTTTGAATTTTAAAATTAGGTAATATGCGGGGATATATGATATTTCATTTTCAATTTGTTTAGGGCTGCTATCTCATAATGTCAAATATGATGAATTTCTTCTTCTTTGGTGCCTTGGTATATTTGTTCTGATTTTTCTTATTATGGCATTCGGAATATGAATGTATTCAAATATTCAATTTTGGGACCATGGCTATTTCATATGGTAGTGTTTCTTTTTTTGCCCCAGAACACCTACTCTTTTTATCTCGCCTCATGGAACGCCAAGAAATTATAAGGAATATTCATAATGAAAAACAGCCGTTCCGTGGAACACGGTTTAAGAAACGCTGCCGTATGGTGTCAAATTGTGATAGGTTTGTAAATTGAGATATTTTAAGTTTAGTTCACTAGTTCGTATATTAACCCTCTGATATCGCATACCAAAGTAGCACCGAAACACCTTTACTTTGCAATGTCGAATGTTTTTATAGTTTTATCTTTCAAATGACTATTTGGTACTGGTATTTCCGCTGGAAATGATAACGAGCAAAATAAGCAGCAAATCAGCAAAAATACGATAAGAATCTAAAGTCCATGCCAAACATGCGCGTACATAATCCAAACCATATGTAACTTTCCGCAAGTACAAGTGTAAAGATATTTTACGACCGTCGAAAAGGTTCTTCAATATTGAAGTTGCGTGTGTTGCTGTATGCTGCCCTTTAGTGTGGTTTGGGTTAGATGTATTCAAATATTCAATCTTTTTGGTCTTCTACTATCTCCTGTAGCAGGGGTGTGCAACTTGCGGGCCAAATGCTGCCCACGAGGAAAAATTGTGCGGCCTACTGAAGAGTACCAATTCTGATTGGTGTGCGGCATGTGAAACAAGTTTTAAATTTAGTTGACTGGTATGTGCGAGTATATCAAATCCCTTGAGTAAAATGAGTAAAATTTATTATCAATGTCTGTGGCGTTACAATGCCCTAACAGCTAGCTTGTGTGGAGTGAACAACGCATGTCATGAGATCAATAACCAAAATTTTTAGGCCCGCAACTACTAGATAGCCTATGTTTAGTAAAAGTACAGCCCGCGGTTTCACCCAGTCATTTATATCTGGCCTTCTTGTATTAAAGGTTGCACACCCCTGTCTAATACCATCAAACCCAATGAATTTTGAAAATGTGTTGGAATTACTATTTTGGTATCTAAATGTATTCAAATATCTGTTTCATCCTTGCCTATTCCCAGCTTTCATAGGTTACTGTATCTGCCCTTATGTGCGCTTTGTTTGGTATCATGTAGTATGTGAACCAAGATGGCAGTTAGGGTTAGACCATAATTTTAGGTACAAATACTACGGGAGTCACTTGGCTAATCCCCGAACTCATAATAGAACTAAAATTGGGATAAAATTATGTCCTAACCCTAACCTGGTACACATACTACGTTCCGGTGTCCACCATCTTGGTGCACATACTACGGGAGTGCCCCTTGTTTTCACATTTGTGCCTTAGTACATTTGTCCTGATTTATCGTATCTTGAATTGTATCAAATTTATTATTCCCATTTCATTGTACAAACTGCTATAAGTCTGCTCTTATTAATCAAAGATTGGAAATTTGTCATATGGTAAGTCTAAATTTGCAACCCTTCTATCAGTACTGTTTTTAGTTGAGGACAAGGGACTTTGCTTTGAGCAAACTTGCAACTCTTCTATCAGTACTCTTTCCACTTTTAGTTGAGGGTTCGGGACCTTGCTTCGAGTTCTTTGAGGGCATTGGACATTGCTTTTGAGCGGATTGCATATGTAATTTTTTAATATTTAAACCATTACTGCATTGTTGGTACAATTTTGTCTCATTTAATGTTTTTTTGTGAGGTTTTATTGCCATTCATTATGCATTTTTACAAATCGCCTTTTCCTTTTTTATCAGTTAATTTATAGTATTAAAAGTAGTCATGGCTTTGTTCGCGAGGGCTGGCCGAAGACTTGTGAAGCTGAATGCAACCACTGGTCCAATTTGGCGGGTGTCGACAGCAACGTTGCATCTTGGTCGTGTAAAACGAGGGGAATATGATTATGTACCACCAGAGGGATATGACAAGACGCAGTTAAAGAAAGGGGATCGACCTGAATTTATCGACCAATCAAAACTAATGTCGCCTCGGGAACGAGCAGAAAGAGCATCGAAATATAACCTAATACCTGAGGATTATGTCCCAATGGAAGGGTATGGGGATTACCCGAAATTACCGAACGAAGCGGCGTTTGAACGTGATCCATATTACGATTGGGATCAACCAGCGTTGCGTCGTAATTACGGAGAACCGATACACGTTCATCAAGAAGTTTACGATCAGTTCTCTGCTCTCGACCGAAGACCGTTAATGTTAGACCGTCGACATTACACACGGTTTTTATTAACTCTCGCTGGAACTTTGATCGTCCTTATCATCATAGGGGGAAGGTTTCCCAGATTTGCCCCGGTGGCTCCGATCCAATATCCAGAAGAATTTCCACAAGACGATAAAGCTGGCACAAACGTCGGAAGAGATTGGTGGTATACTGAGTTTAAATCCAAAGAAGTTGTCAATTATGATTTTAAATAGACTGTGTGGGGATTTTCATCTTGGATTTCATTTTGATTTTGGTTTAGCACCTAAGAAAAGTGTGGGGTTTTGCATATCTAAACAATTTGGTTCTTCTCCAGGGATTCCTGGCCTTCAAAAAAACCTGTGAACATGGCTTATGAGGTGGAGATATCAATTGTTGTAATTTGTGATTTCAAATAAATATAGGCCATTTTTGAATATGTATTCTAGAATTAATTCTTTGAATATTCTGAATGGTTCGTAGAATTCTGTCATTGAAATGAATTTTCGATTTTTAATATTATTGGTTGAATTTCCTCCCCTCCCCCCGCTCCCCCCCCCCCAAAAAAAAAAGGTTTTCAGTTGTTTACCTGAATCAGCAGCTAGTATGGAAACCTACTAAGCTCCTCCCAAAATTCTAAACTTTTTTTTAAATTATTCAAACCTTATTATTATAATTCCCTACCTGAGATATTTGGCATCCTAGTTTTTCTGTGTGAGTTGACTTTCGTCTTAATGTTCCAGCTTTAATAGACTGTTAATAAAAGTTTCATCGCACTATGTTGTTTGATGAAAAAATTTAATTCAATCCATTCATTGAAGTATAATTGAAGTTACTAATCTATTATCTGAGCCCCCACCCCAAGCTCTGACTCCAGACCCTTGATTGAAGTACCAGAATTGATTTGCGCATTTTTATGAATTATTTTTTCGACTACATTCGCAAGTGAACCCTTCGCTTTACTAAAAATGAGATGCCATATAGATAATGTCGTTTATTTATTATAAAGAATTAATTTTTTGATTAATCGGAAATAGAATTTCACCTCTACCAGTACCCCCAATTTCCCATATTAGAGTGTGTCTTATTTTCATTGAATTGTGATGCCTTAATGTCATGTTATGTTCACTATCAGTAGAATTCAGAAATACTTGTTGATGAAATGGTCAAAATTGGGATAATTAATATTGGTTTCTGGCGAGTATATTTTCATCAATTTTTGGCTGATGAAGCAAAATTGGTACGGAGTCGAAAAAACTTCCAAAATGGAACAAAAACGCCCGGTTGAAAATTTATCGGTAATATGGTTTAAAATGCAAACGAAGAGATCAAATCCGTTGCATTTGAGAGTTTTACTCATTTATGGACGATGTTGAAAAACAACATAATGATGATCGGTATATGATGAAACAATGAAAAGGTAGGTTTGTTCAGTAAATTGTGTACGTAGTGTTCTGGCCTGAATGTTAAGCCAAGGTTTCCCAAAATGGGCCTTGAAATAGCTGTTGTGAGATTATAAGTAAATATATATATTATATTTAAAAGGTCCTTTAACTTTATATTATTGAGATATTTGGTTAGTTAATGAACCAAACTATGATAAGATATCGATACCAACATAAAAAGCACTTATTTCTTACGTAATATTTTAAAATAAATTTCATTGTTCATTACTGCTTGTCTTTGAACCCTTTTCTTGGAATGAAGACCTGTGAAAATAAATTCAGATTTCATTCATCCATCTGTTAGTCTATGGTCTTTAAATAATATGAACCTCTATTTTTATAATCTCTGTAAGCGGTGTTAGTTAGATAATTCGTACGATACTCAGTGTCCTATCGGTATTTTTGAAACTCCAAAATCCAAACCTTTGATGCTGCTGCGATAAACAGCTTTGCTCCCCCACGACTTCCCTTCCCCAGTAAAATTGTGAATCGTATTTCCCGGCAATTAATTAAGTCGCTTTTCTAGACCAAATTTTTTGCTCTGATCATGGGGGCCGTCTTATTAGGAGCTATGCTTATTTTATTTTTTCAGGAGCTTGGCTTATTTTTCGCACTAGTCTTCTCAAACATGATTTGTGAAAGCTTCATACCTGGGTTGATATATTTTATAATGTATTCGCCGTCGCCAAAGTGTCTGCCAATCAAGATTATTTAATTGACTTAGTACTGCCAGCTGTTATTTGTCTTATTCCTTTTAAAAACGTGGCGGGTGCAATGAAGCACTCCCTGTTTATGCTTTTTCTGTGCTAACAATAGGCTTCGTCTTATTTGCCAAGTAGACATATTCACCGGGAAATACTGTATTTATCATTTTTTCGTGGTTGTGTGATATTTTTTTCTGGTTGGAAATAATAAACTAGACTATGAACTTTCAATTTATTTCTAAATTTTACAGACGATCGTCAAAGGTAAGCAAATCTTAATGGAGGAAAATTACAAAGCTGGCGACCCATTTCCAGAGAAAATCGAAACTAAAGAAGGTTTTTCAATGGTGTTAGAAAACACTGCATTATTCACTGATTTAATAGTTCGTTTCCCGTTCGTGGCACAACGAGAATTAAAACAAAATACTGATTGGAAAGAAACCATAATATGGGGTAAAAATGTATGCGAAAAAAGCGGCGTTTTTACTGAAAAACATCAAAAAATTTTGCACAGCTTAGGACAGGAATTAAAAATTGACGAACCTGACCCAAGTTATGAAAACCCGTTTAAAATCAAACCGGAAGTCGATCAAAAAACTGAGGAAGAAAGACAAAAAGAATATGAAGATAAAAAGCGGAAGGAGAAACTTGCTGCAAAAAAGAAAAATAAGAAATCGGGACCAAAGTTATCCAAGAATGAACTGTGATGAGACTGACAAAAATGACGGAAAATTTTTCCCAAAATAAATTTTGCCATCGAAGCCAATTAAAAAATATTGCCAAATTGTAGAATTTCAAAAATTGATGAAATTAAATTTAGTTGATATTTACGATACGCATTCATAATATAAAACTAACTAAAAATGAATCAAAATGAACAATTCAGCATATCAGCAAATGGAAGAGGAAAATCGTCTTATCGAGAGAATAAAAGTTATGACAAGCTAAATCTTTATTGATATTTATAAATGAACCTCGTATATCCCCCCCGCATGTAAGCCGTTCCCCTAAAACGGTATAAGCCGACCTTACAAATCGTAACACGCTGCAAATGGTTGCAGGAGAGAATTAGTGCAATCAGAGTTATGCACAGATAAGCCCCGATTCCTAAGTTTGGCAACTTTTTTCTGGCTCATATACTGTATACGCGAGGATATACGAGCGAAGCAATATTCAACCATTAGAAAGATATTGCAAACTCGAAGTTGGCTTTTGGACCAATCATATTTATAGCTCTTCTTTGAATGCTGTCATAAAATTTTATGATTTAATTAAAAAATTGTTTTGTGCAATCTTAGGTCAATTTTACAATCATTTTGTCAATTTAATTTGTTATGTCCCCACGGTGCTGAGTTATCAACTTAGTTAGTTATCAACCAGTAGTTTATGTACATGCTATATATGTATGTGCATCTTATTTTTCCTTCGATAAACAGTGCCAGCTTGAATTATGCAATAACTTACTTGGACCATCACCATATCATGTTACCATTTTTTTTTCATTTTTCAAAAAAATTTTTTTTTTCAAGACACAAAGTAAACAGATGTATTATTTTGCTGAGTTGTTTCTATTGTTGTTTGTCTTATTGAATAACTTGGTGTTATTGCTATAAAAAAATCACTTTTTTCAGAGATTACTGGTCTAATCGATTTAACAGATTAAGCACTTTTTACTTTACGGCAGTGATTCCCAAAGCGCGGGTGGTAATTGGTAACAGTTTAATATGGCCCGTCGAACTGGAGTGAAATTGTTTAACACTTTATGTTTTTTCTTTTTTGGGTTCTAAATTCCGCCAATTGTTACATCATTATCACAGTTTGGGCATGTATAATATTCATAACAATTCAGTTATACTGGCATCTTAAATATACGCACTGGTACTGCTATCACTCCCCTTTCCTGGCTCGTGAATATCCTTCTGCTTCTAATTTTGGCTCCACAGTCAATCAACGTTGGGGACTATTTATTTCAGAATAGATACCTGCACAAATTTATAGGGATAAGTATGTTACAGTTTTCTTCATTTTTTATGTACTGGTATGTCTTTTATGCTACATTTTATATTGTCGTAATCAAAAATTCAAAATCTAATTTTTTTTTATTTCTTGAAGAAATCATTGATGGGAAAAAAATTTCAAATTTACTACTAAATTATCATTTTTTATTCTCAAAACCTAGTTAATTTGATCCACTGTGTCACAGTATCTGTTGTTTATTTATTACTATTAGGTAATTTGAATCACTTGTGTAAGTAAACCTGTTTTTTGTTAGTCTTCTTTTTTGTGACTGTATATTTTGTATTTCTTTTATGAGTTTCTTTCTCTGGGAAAGTTTAAAAAAAATTTAATCCTGCCCTCCATCGGAAAGGTTTTTTAATTCTTCGTATAATGTCATATTTTAAAATTTTGTCATTGGAGTTTTTCACCACTAGGTAGACACACGCTTAAGATCGGTAAGTATGTTGATAGGTATTTGTCTGTTAGATGCACGCGATATTTCATGAACGCGTGGTTGATTCTGCTCCAAATTTTGCATGTGCATGCATCATATCTTGGACCAGAAGCCTATTGGATAAATTATGTCGCATAATTAGCGAGGTATTAATTAATTAGTGATGGGACACGTGGTGTCACTATAAAGTCATGAATCGAAACCACAGTTTCGGTCGATAAGTCTTCGGTCTCCGACCGATATTCTTGTTTTATTGTTTAAAGATTGCGATTTCATCCACATATTTTGACATGTTTTTTCAATGAAACTTACTTTTGCCGTACTATCTGTTGTAGCATATCGTTAGCTAGTTATTTTTGAGGTGGGGCAGAACTTGAAAACCCTAAAAAGTTTGAGAACCGCTGGTTTTGATAATGCACAAATTTTTAATTTTGTTTCAGTTTTTACGTCTCAATCATGGTAATTAATGTTAACTTGTGTGTTCTCATTTACATTTTGTCCATGTGACTGTTATCCTGGAATAACTGTGCTCTAACCTTATCTTTAACTGACCAATGGCAGCACAGCATGATGGTGTTGCATTGTGGGTAAAACCACTGAAGCATGCTTCCTGGGTATAAATACTGCCATGCTGGTCTCCAGAGGTCATTCAGTACTTTGGTGTAGCAGAGGCAACATGTGTCTTATGTCTGATTCTATATTCTGTTACTTGTGGTGACAAGTGCACTGTTTAAAAGTATTTCTCGTGTTTGAGGAAATGTTATTTATGCCAATAAACAATTTAATTAAAGGGTGCTCTCGAATTATGTGCACCAAGATGGCGCACAACCTGAACATAGTATGTGTACCAGGTTATGGTTGTCAGGTTGTGCGCCATCTTGGTGCACGTACTTATGGAGCACCAATCAAAGTGCTATGAACTATTTCTAAGGATGACTGAATTGAATATGACCATTTTCTAATGTATTCCTACGAATCCAATCCAATATTTTATTTGTTTTGATCATTTGAGTTCAACTTTCAACCTTTTTCTACATTTACCCAGCTCTACCTCATTAATAAAAATATGGCAACCCTAGCCGAATGGGTCTATGACGAAATATGCAAATTACTTGGTCCAGACACACCGCGAGCGTACACAGACTATATTCTGGAAATACAAGATAAAAATGAAGTCAAAGAATATCTTGAACAACTCTGTGGAGAGGGGAAATCCCCTGATATCGAATTATTTGTGAATTTATTGACTGCGAAACGACGTGCAGTGCAGGAAAATGTGACAGTGTATAAAAAAGGTGTGTACTATCACTACTATGTATGTTTTGACATGGGATAGAATTTTTATTCCGTGGAGAGGGAAGCCAATGAGACAGTTTAATTGTTAAAAACGCTTATTAAAATTATTGTGTCTTGTGTTTTTGCAGAAAATATTTACTACTTCTAAAAGTTTAAAATTTTTACTATGGTACAAAGTATCGATCAAATTTGGAACCAGTACCGATACAGACTATGACCGAAATAAAGCAGAGATGCGATCTTTCACACCAGTCTCATTAAAAGCGTTGTCGTTTTTTTATTTTTTTTGTTCAATATTTCTCGTTTCATCAAGTTTTACCCAAATTATTTTTTATCTTCCGCTGGGAGTCGCGAAAAAATTCGGTCCAAGTGGGTTGTGATGAAGATAGCTTGAAGAACACTGCTCTAAATTATTCTTAAAATTGTGTATTCACAATATATGAATATCTAACCGTTTTGGCCGTTCATGTCCCACCTCAAGTCCTCAATGTTGTATCAAAGGCAAATGATGATCAGGATACCCCCGTCATAAGTGATTTGATGATAAACAGTCTCTTCACAAGCTGATGCCTTTGATACAATGTTGGATTCCTTCTATATTTTTAAACACACATTCCTTGAATAAATTGAAATCAGATTTCATCTTTATAAACTGCCTAATGCACAACCATAATTTTATATAAGAGATTAGTATTTCAGTGGTCCCTGCTCATAGCTTTGCTCAAAGATGAGTCTTCTTCATTTCTGAGAGAGTGAATATAATACACAACATGGTGGTACAGCCAGAATTATTCAAAGAGATGAGGGGTTTTGAAATTTGTAATTAGCATGTTAGACCGTGACAGCGAGCGGGTCCTGCCTGAGGCCCCGGAAGCGCGGGGTTTCAAAATTCCTGAGGGTCAAAAACGTTTCTTTCAAGCTATGAAAAATTGATATGTGCGATACAGAAACCCCTGTTTTTTTTTTTTTAAAACAAAGGGGGTTTCGACCCTCAAACCCCCCTCCTGTCTATGCCTCTGACACAACACCATAATTCTACATATTTTCATTAGCTCCCTGAATATTGGTTTACTGAGCCTTTGCTCAGGAATGGATCTTCTTCACTCCTGCTTTGCTTTGAGCAAATTTCCCAGAAAAAACATTTTTCTAACAAGGCCTAATTCATCTCAGCGTTACAAATAGTTCAATTCAATAATTTTGCATTCAGGCAACAGTGACCTTGAGCAGAGGTCAGTGCGTCCAAAGAAGAAAAAAGAGCCTAAAAAGGTCATGACCTTGGATGATATATCTCCTGCGACAACACCAAAAACTCCGCTCGACGCTGTGGCGAGTAAGAATGAAAAATCTCCAAAAAAGAAGACGACGTATGTGTCATTGTATGGCAAAGATGGTGAAGCGAGAACTAATGCTGTTCTGCTTCCAGGGAGAAATGCCTGCGAGTGTCAGGCTCAAAAACATAAGTAAGTGAACTTTTTATATAACATATTTATACACTTTTTCTTCAAACAAGGATCAACACAGGCACCTACTATTACATAAGGATTTACTATAGCTTGGAAAGACCGAAATCTTACCAGTTTAGTATTGCCTGCCCCATTTATAATCCCCTGGATGACATGGCGGGCATAGGATTTTAGCCTGAGATGATATTATAGTTACCGTATTTTCTCAAAATTACGCCTATCTCACGAATAAGCCGACTCCCTAATACCAGCTTCAAAATAGTGAATTTATAAAAATTCGCATATACGCCGTTTCTACAAATCGTAATGGAAGACAGTACTTTGCGGATTACTGTCAACATAAAAGGAATTAAATCAGCGCCGACTTGAAGTACCGAATGTATGACATGAGAACATTTTTGATTGAAAATATTTTACAATCCTTATTTTATATTAACGTAGTCGAGATATTCTGAGCGGCAACGGCAATAAATTTGGTTATTTTTCGCAAGTCTTCTCAAACATGATTTGTGTAAGCTTCATATATGGGCTGATATATTTTATGATGTATGCCAAAGTGTCTGCCTATTATTTAATTGACTTTGTATACCAGCTGTTATTTGTGTTAATCCTTTAAAAACAAAAACGTGGGAAGCACTTCCTGCCCGATATCGGCACTTCAGAAAGAAAACGCTACCACGAGATAACGTAATTGATTTATGACCCTTCCGTTTTGCTGATTCAGGAAAAAAACGGAAAACACAGTTGTTGCCTAACCCATGGACATACAGTAATATTTATCACACCATATTCATATGTTATTTCAACTTTTCAGTTAAATGGTTGTTCAAAATAATTGAAATTACAGTTTTATTGTTAAGAATTAATGCTGTGACTGTGAGTATTATTCTACCTGATTCTTATTGGGAAATTTATGTTAATAACGTCTATATTGCTTTTCAATGCGCGGTGATTTGTATTAATGAAGGGATAAAACAGAAGGGATCAGCATAAAACAATTTCTTTTAAATCGAATGTTGTATTAACACATTCTTATAAATCGCTGATTCGGAAGTTGCTATTAAAAGGATTTTCAAACGTCGTAGAATGAATGTCGTTTTGTGACATATTTACAAGCTCCATTATTTCGATGTTTTTTTTTTTTTTTTTTTTTTTTTTTTTTGCCAAATTTAAATCCATAGCCAAATCGGATTCATGAAAATGATAGTTTTGGTTTATCCAAATATATTATTATGTCAATTTAATTGCATGAATCCCAATTTCCAAATAATTTAGGTGTTAAGTATACAATACATGATAGATAAATAATCACAAATATCAAATAATCCAGATACATTTACCCATATTAGTTCAAATATCCAATTTGAATTGTGTCCACATTCATGAAATGTCAATCCATGTAATCCAGTGACCATTGTGCATACATTTTTTTTCATTTTCAGTAGTTATACCATATATATTATAAATTTAACCGATATTATCATTTAATATGGAAAACAAAAATATTTAAAGAATTAGACAAATAATCATAAAAACGCCCATCATGCTATTAGGCGTTTTCCAGATTCTCGGTCTATGCAAACTTTTTTTTTTTTTTCTTGGAAATAACATTTTATTATAGAGTCTGTGATTGCAGAAACGATAGTTGCAGGTGTTAGGAATTAATATTAAAACAAGTTTAACATGAAATAATACATTATACACCCACAATGTTATCTGATATATCATAATTTTCATTACAACACAACAAACATTCACATTTTTATTTTTTTTTTAACTGAATTATTTCAATGTATATAAATTTCAGATAATAAGTATGAAAACTATAACTACCATATTCAAAGCATTACTGATTTTCCTAAAAGAATTTCAATCTTTTCATCTTCTAATATTTCCTCTTTTACAAATTCATTCATACTTCTTAAAGATCCTATCATCACACATTTAAACATAGTTCTAAGTATGGACTGATATGTTTCCAATTCCTGAAATATTAAGCCATTTCTAAAATTCCAAATCGCTGCTTTACCACAAGCGATAATTAGATTCAGTGATTTAGTTTCAACATCTTGAGTAAAAATATTATGCTGTGTATAACTTGTTAAATTTAGCCATTTCCAAAAGGATTTTATATAAGAACAGTTGAAAAATAAATGAATACAATTTTCAATGACTCTATTACAAAAGACGCAATTGCCATTTGTATCTTCTGCCCAATGTCTAATTCGTTCTCCAGTTGGAATCCCATTTTGTAAAATCTTCCAACTTAGTACCTGGTATTTTCTGGGAATATAATTTGCCCAAACTTTATTCCAAGTAAAATCTGTTCGTAAATTAAATTTATAAATAATTTTACAACGTTTCTGTTTCCATTGGTCACTGTTAAACTTTTTTAATATTTTCCTATACAATATTTTTGTTGTGGGATTTTCTGAAAAATCATATTTAAATTCCTTTGACATGGGGATATGATTGCTTGTTTTATCTCTTAATATATTTTTCCATTCCTGGGGAATAGATTTCAAAATTTCTTGAACAGATAAAATAACTTTCTTCATTTTGTCTTTTACATCATTTATATCCATCATTCTTATCCTATCTTCTCCATATATTTTTTCTAAAATTTGCCTACATGTTAATTTAATAACATGTTCTATTTTTGTTATATTTGATTTAATCCAATTACTCAGATTATCTGGATGATTTTGCAACTTAATCAATGGATTAAACCAAATATATTCTTGATAAATTTCAGATCTTAATTGCAAAGGGTTTCTTTTTAAATTTAATGCTTTAAAATAATTGACAATATTTGTATAGAATTGAGGTATCGATTTCTTAAAATTGTTTCTCAAACTAAGATGGATAATTTCCAAATTAGTTGTTTGAAGTTTATTGTGATAGTTATTTATGTAATTTCTAGCTCTGTTACTCCATGGTGCTTTATTACCATCAATCAATTTCCACAACCATTTAAGTTGAATGCTTTTTATTTGTATTTCTATATCCATGCATCCTAAGCCCCCCTGCATTTTACTGGCACAGCATACACTTCTGCTTATATTTTCTTGTTTTTGTTCCCAAATAAAAGTCCAAATTAATTTTTTCAAAGTTAATATAACATTGTATGGAACTATTTCAAATGATGCTAAATACCAAACTTTTGACAATAATAATTGTTTAGCAATAATAGTTCTTCCAATCATTGTCAGGTTTCTACCCCTCCATAAATTTATAACATTCTGAATTCTTCTAATGACTGGATTCCAATTTTTCTCAAATTTAGTTTTATCATTACCAAACCAACAACCTAATAGTAATATATTGTCCCTTGAAACTTTTATGCCATCCACTTGAATAATTGGCAAGTTTATCAAACTGCCACATACCAAAATTTGTGATTTATTCCTATTTATATAGGTCCCTGATGCATTTTCAAATTGTACAATAACATTCATGGATACACATAAAGAATAGTAATCCCTTAAAGTCAACAGTGCATCATCTGCGAACCCCTTATATTTTTGTTCCTCATTTGCTATATTTATGAAACCTCTTATCTCTGTATTACTTCTGATATTACATGCAAATACTTCAGCAATGAATGTATAAAGTATTGGAGACAGTGGACAGCCTTGTCTTAAACCTCTTTCTACTATAAATTCCTTGCCAATATATCCATTGGTTATAATCCTTGACTTTGTATTTGTATAAATTAGTTTTATAAAAGATATCCATGTTGGCCCAATATTAAATTTTTTTAAAACTTTAAACAAAAATTCCCTATCTACACTATCATATGCCTTTTCCCAGTCTATTGAGAACAACAGCAGATCAGTTTTAGAATAATTTGCATGGAAGATATCATCTCGAAATGTCAATAAATTTTCATGTATATTTCTGCTATATATAAATCCAGTTTGATCTGGATGAATCAGTTTGGGGAGTTCGTATTTAATTCGGTTGCCTAATATTTTAGTAAAAATTTTATAATCTAAATTGAGTAACGAAATTGGTCTCCAATTAGCTAATTTTTTTTTTTCACCTTTTTTATATAATAAAGTAATTATTGCCTCTGTCATAGTTTCGGTGAGTTGTCCAGAAGCTATACAGCTGCTATATACAGCGAGTAAAATAGTTTTAATTTTATTCCAGCATAATAGATAAAATTCCTTTGTAAGGCCATCCAGGCCAGGAGCTTTATTTAGTTTCAAACTTTTAAATGCATCATCTAATTCTTGTTCACTTATACCATATTCCAAATTAATCATTTTTTCATACTCCAATTTGGTTTCGATTTTACTAATCAAAGTATTTTGCAAGTCCTCATTCAACTGTTTTTTAGTGTACAACTTTTTGTAAAATAATCTCTGCTCTTCTTGTATATCATTAATATTCGTAAGGATTATACCAGCATCTGTCTCCAATTCTTTAAAGAGTTTAATTTGCCCCCTATGTTTCTCTAAATTAAAAAAATAAGAAGTAGATTTTTCTCCTTGTTCATTCCATCTTATTCTACTTCTTATAATATTCCCTTGCACTTTCTTTTTTGATAAATTATCCAACTCTACTTTTAATAATTCAACCCTATGTTTTTTCTCTATATCGAACTTATCTTTTTCATAATTAACCAGAGCATTCTGGTATTTATTGATGACAAGTTTTTCTTCTGCTTCCTCCCTAATTTTTAAACATTTGCCACAGTATATTGCCCAATGCTTAATTTTCCTTTTGATCCTATCCCACATTTCCCTAATTACCAGATTATCACTACACTGTGAAAATTCATTCTTCCAATGGGTCATCATAACGTCAATACCATTTACAAAAGTTTCATCATTGCATAGTCTAGCATTAAATTTCCAGTAACCTCTACCTCTTTTAATGTTATCATCCACATGTATGTGAATTATAGGTATATCATGGTCTGATATACTTTGTGCTAGTATCACCGCATTCTCAATATTTGGTATCAAGGTTTTTGAAATATAAAATCTATCTAATCTCCTTTGTCTTATTGGAATATCCTTGCTGTTAGTAATTTGCCTCCAAGTATATTTCCTATCATGTGGGTGAGTGTGTCGCCAAATATCTAGTAAGTTATATTTGGCTATAACATTTTCTAATACCTTAACACTATTATCTACAACCAGTTTTGAACCAATTTCTTTATCTAATAAGTTACAAATACAATTAAAATCACCCCCCAGTATTATTTTATAACTATTCCAAATATTGTTATTTTCAAGGAATTCTTCCAGTTTTTGATCTAATTCTTTAAATGTATCCCGTCTATGTTGCAATATATTTGGTGAATATAAATTAGTTAAAATAAATGTATAATTTTCAACTATGAAATGGCATAATATTATTCGTCCCTCTTTATTGTCAATAAATTGGCACTGTTTGATATTGATATCTAATTGTTTACTGATTAATATTGCTACACCATTCCTAGTATTGGAATAGGTTGTCCAATATTTCGATGTTGCTTCGTAATGCGATTTGAATAATTTTATTTATCATTTAATTTTAAATATTGTGTCATCACCTCAACAGCGTAAGCGTGTCATGCATATGTAACGGTAAATATTTCAATTATAACGGAGATAAGAGTCTTTATCAGCGCAACTGAAAAGGATAACATATCGTAAAGGTGATCAAAATGAGGGCGCCGTTACTTGCGTTGTACCGCGATAGTGCACTAAATGATAATGTTTCACCACGAAACGCTGGCCGTAAATCGACGCCAATCAGACTGTACAAGCGTCACATGTTTAACAACCAATCACAGACTGTACGAGCCATCAGCTGTATGATGAGACAATCACACCGGCACAAGCGATTGTGTGTGTGCGTTCTTTATCGTGAGAACTTAGTGCGGTTTGAAGCTTTTGGAATTACCGGCAAGTTAGCTAAATGTCGATCTCGTTGCGTGATCAAAGTCATGCGCGAATGAGTCGATTTTTTTATGCAATCTGAGTTATGCGAGTATAAGCCGCCCCCTTAGTTTGGCAACTTTTTTTTTGTGTTTTAAACTCGGCGTATGTGCGAAAATATACGGTAAGCCTAAAGCCTTAACCACTAGGCCACAATAATTTACATGCTAATATTTTGATCATCGTCTGATATTCTCTGGAGTTGGGAATCAGAGTCTGAAACGAACGTTCTATTAACCTTAAGCTTTTTATTTCAAATCAGAATCGGAAGTTAGAGTTAAATACAAATTTTCTCCGGCTCTAGAGAACTGAATGACTTATGCAAGGGGGTTTGAGGGCCGGAACTCCCCATTTTGAGTTGTAAAAAAAAGCATTTTTCTCTTCTCTCAATTTTTTCGTAGCTTGAAACGCTTTTTAGACTCTATAGACTTATGAAAACGCATATTTTTTGCCTTCGGCTAGCTGTTATGTTCTAACTTGGCAATTAGATATTTCAGAAACAAACCCCCTTCGAACATTCATGACTTTGCCTTAAACATTTTACATAATCCTAAATCACTTTAAATGTTTGTTTGGTGCTCCCGAAGTATGCGAACCAAGATGGCGGACATCGGAACGTAACAGGTTAGGGTTAGGCGATAATTTTTTTCCAATTTTCCTTATTTTAGTCCTATTATCAGTTCGAAGACTAGCCAAGAGCCTCCCGTAGTATTTATACCTAAAATTATGGCCTAACCCTAACCTAGTACACATATTACATTCCGATGTCCGCCATCTTGGTTCGCATACTTCGGGAGCCCCGTTTGTTTTTTTTGTCCTAAGTCTAGCTTGTAGAAAATTAAAAAAAAATTTTGTTCATGTTGCAGGCTAATCAACAATTGTCTTGGGTGCGGGCGTGTAGTTTGTGAGCAGGAAGGCTCTGGACCTTGTCTATTCTGTGGTAAGTGTTTCTTCAAATATTGGGAGATCTCTCATTGTATTTGACTTTTTTGTTGAGACGGGTTCTCCAGACATGTAAATTACTGTAAATCGCCTGTAAATTTTTGGAATATTGTTATTTCACGAGACTATCTTCAATCGTGTTTATTCGACGAGCTCAAATCTCAATTTCCATGTTTCAAATTTTAGCCACTTGTGTGTGACGCATTGCACGTTCAGCGAAAGTTGGGCGACACCGGAAAATCTTCACTTGGGGTTGCTTCCCACTGTTTGGGTTCCACTGCTCAAATCAATAATATCTAATGAAGATACCTAGCCTCTAGGCTTCAACTAGGCCGACCTGCAATAATTATCATTTGTAATCTCAGACTAAGTGAGAGATACTAAGTAATATAGTTTCCAAGGTTAAAATTGGCCTATCATTGGCCTAACTCCTACTCATACGCGGATTGAAATTTTTGCTATTTCCCAGGCAAGATGGTTTGCACTCCCGAGGAGAAGAAAATTCTTGCGAGAGAGTCAAATAAAAGTGAAAAACTACTCAAGAAATTATCCAGTATTGGAGGAGGCGCATCATTAACAGAGGATATTGGTAAGAAGGACTCTGTGGTGCAATGGTTTCCAACTGGTGTTCAGATCACATGCTGGGTTAATTATGTGCGAAAGTATTGCTGAATTCCTTGCCGCTGGAGGGTGATTTATGTAATGGCAGGTCGGATACGGCTTTCTCCGCAATCGAGTCAATGCTTCTGAAACAAGTGACTGGCTAACTAATTCCTGGTAAACAAACGAGAGGACGTGATTGGCCATATGATCAAGCCATCTTATCGTCTTTCCTCTTCCTCGGGATAAATATGTAAATCCTTAATATTGTTTCGGAAGTAGGGTATCGCTATACCTTCGGTACTTCCATTGTCAAATCTATGTATTCGATACAGGTAACTGACTAACTAATCCCATACCAGACATAAACTGGTAACCGGGTGACAGGCCGTGGTTTGTCATATTATTAAGCTGTCTTATCAGCTTTCCTCTCCTTCTGAATAAATATAAAATCCTATCCCATTACTTACAGAAGCGACTAAAGGCCTCCAGAGGGCAGAAGAGTACAAAAACAGGTTACTAGAGTATGATCGGACGTACGTAAAACGAACAAAAGTAATTGATGATGAGTCTGATTATTACGCAACAGACACAAATGTTTGGCTGAGTCAAAAGGAGAGAGAAGCAATGAAAAAGAAAGATAGAGAAATGAGAGAATTAAGATTTGGGTCACGGTTGAATAAAAAGGTGGGTATTTCCTATTTTTATGTCCAAATTTCTCAAACTTTTGGTGTTATGGAGCCCGTGAAGAAGTTGACTATTATTTACGGAGCCCCAAAATAAATTACATAAATAATAACAAAAAAACACTTTGTTACTCACCAATGGACCTTTCCCCGACCTTTGACCCCCGAAAAATTCTTCCTATACTTCACCATTGCAAAATTTTCGGGACTATTTTAAGAGTGCTTTCGCGAATTGGCTCCTGTTAAATGGCGTATGTGTTTCAAATCATCATTATAATTAATCGCATACAACAATCTGTTTTTTAAAAGTACAGGTAAAGAATTTTAGCCTAGTCTATCACAGCTATTTCTACACTAGTTTTTTGTTACTGCAATTGAATAAAAATTCCTAGGAAGACAGAGTGATCATTGAATTAATTATCTGATTCATATCTAAGATTCAGAAACACAGTTACAAAATTACCCAATTCAGTATTTCAACAAGTAAACTATTAGCTCGCGGAGCCCCTGATTTGTTTTTTCATGCAGTACCAAACCATTTTAAGAACCTGTGATATAAACGCTGATTTCGATTGGCCGAAGATTTTTTGAATCTCCCTCCATATAAACATTTAGGAACAATCAAACTAATCTAAACTTCCATAACTGTATATAGATATCGCTTTATTTATCAACGATTTAAACAGGTGACGCTTGATTTTGCTGGGCGAAAAGTTATAGATGAAGAATATGCGCCACCACAAGAGGGTGCTGAGCAAGAATTTTTGGCCCAGATCGCAGATGAAAAACAAGCGTACGACCCCTCACTCCAAGATGCCTTCCCTGATCTACCAATGCCAAAATTTATCGGTAAAGAAAATAAAACACCCGAAAATGTGAAATTCTCCTCGGGGAGTATGAAAAAACAAGAAAAAATACAAAGACATCCCTTAAATAGGCTTCAAGATAAAGAATTACAGCAAATGTCTGATATTGGCTTATGTTGTAGTATGCATCAGGCCGTGGGCTTCCTTGCTGTCAAAGGCATCAAGAAGACGAGGGGAAGGAATGGTAAAGCCGTAATATTGCTAGGCTGGTATGGCGCATTGTGCCAAGCGTTAGGAATAAGCGCTCGCAAACTCACCTGTGATGCACCTCGCTAGTGTTTGCAGGTCCTCGCCCATTTAAGGGTGAGTAAATCCTAGCCTATTCCGTTACTTTCTTTGGTTGTTACTTCTATTTCTATCAAAAACGCCCAACCAAATGATATATATGGATACAGTATAGAAATGTTGGACCTCCTGAAGTATGTGCACCAAGGTGGCGCACAACCTGAACTCAGTTTAGGAATACGCTCGCAAACTCACCTGTGATTACCCCGCATGGGTTGACAGGTTCGAATCCCATGCAGGGTTTATTATGTGCGAGATGATTCATGGCTTGACAGTGTGGTACTTCATGCTGAACGTTAGGAATGTGCTCGCCAACTCACATCTGATTACTCTGCGCGGGTTTGCAGGCTCGAATCCCATGAGGGGATAAGGTACTCCTGAAGTATGCGCACCAAGATGTCACATAACTTGAACTCTTAACCTGGTACACAACTGGAGTTCGTGTTGTGCGCCATCTTGGTGCGCATACTTCAGGAGGTCCGGAGATAATCATGTACAAGATGATTGCTGGACTCCTCGCCACTGTAGGGTGGTAAATCCTATCCTATCCCTGTTATTTTCTGATTGTGACTTCTATCAAAAGCCCAACCGAATGAAATATACGGGTACAGTTTAGAAATCTTGGACCTCCTGAAAGGCGCACAACCCGAACTCAGGTTGTGTACCAGGTCAGGGTTCAGGTTGTGTGACATCTTGGTGCGCATACTTCAGGAGCACACGTTTCCCTACTTTGAACGATTAATTAGTTTAATTAATAATTTGTATGCGATATTTGTGTATTTCAAACTTCCCAGATGATGAATTTTGGATGCCACATACTTGGGAATGATTTCAGAATATAGTATTTGTAAGTAGGGAGTTCACCTGAGTAAATTTTACACCAAACTACTTTTAGCGATTAAAAGCAGAGTTGAAGGATCCCTAATTTTTTATTTCCGATGTTCCTGACCGACTTTTGATACAAATAACTGCTAACTAATCCCATATCCGACACAGATTAGAAACTGGACGAGAGGCCGTGGTTTGCCACCCGATTAACAGGCTCATCGGTTTTCTTTCCCCCGATATAAATATGTAAATCTTATCCCATTATTCAGCTTAAAGTCCCACTCTTAACCCCCAACCCCCAAAGCCGAGTGTTAGAGTCCCAAACCCCTCAGAGTAAGAATTCTGAGTGCCCTGTAGTTTTATTTAGAATGAATAAGCTTAGGAAAACTTTCGAAGATTTTCTCATCAAGTGTTTTATGTTGGATTCACTTCTTAAATCTTATTTGAGTTTCTCTTGTCCCTTTTAGAGACTTCATATTGGAATTTGAGTACTCTCACTGTGTGTGTATCAGGTTAGGGTTAGGACATAATTTTATACTGGATTTCCTTTTTTTAGTTCTATTACGATTTCGGGGACTGTCTGTGTTAGCCAAGTGAATATACTTATGCCCATAGGTTCCAGTCCCTTCACACAACTTGATGTAAAGTAGGCGAACAAAGTTAGTTATCTTCACATTGGTACACACACTTTTGGAGCGCCTAACTTTGTAGCGACTAATATATACATACATCGATATTGCGATATCAGTGGTTTTTGCAAACTCCTATATCAGCCTTCCAACCCTTTATTAAATAATTATTATTAAATATTTCCAGGTATTCTAATCACAGAGGCAGGCTATGGATAGCCGCAGCATCACATAAACCAACTCCTGAAGAAGTAAAACAGATAGAAGACCGGCATCGAAACTACGTTGATAACGACGTTGTATTCCCGACTGAATACCCAACGTCTTGTTTACTTGGTTGTGTCAATGTGGACAACGTTATGAGCCAAGAGGAGTACCGTTCCGCGTATCCGAACGGCGCGTCCGGGTCTCCATATGTTTTTGTCTGTTCTGGCTTTGAAGAACTTCTAGTTAAAGTACCGGTAACAGGGCAACATAAAATTTGGAAACTACCGCCTAATTTACATCAGGCTGCTAAAAAAGGAAGGACGATTATGCATGGGGATTTTTGAGTAATTTATCTATTTCATGCGTGAGAGAAAAAGCTTATTATATGAATAATTCTATTTTTCTGAGGCACTTTCAACGGCGCTCCCGTAGTATGTGCAACAAAATGGCGGACACCTGAACATAGTATGTGTATCAGGTTAGGGTTAGGCCATAATTTCAATCCAATTTACCTTATTTTAGTTCTATTAAGAGTTCAGGGACTAGCCGAATGACTTCCCGTAGTATTTGTACCTGAAATTATGGCTCAACCCTAATCTGGTACACATACTACACTACGTTCCGGTTTCCGTGATCTTCTTGCACATACTACGAGAGTACCTTTTCGACACCCTTACTCTGAACAATGTAATTTACAAATATTCACTGCTATGCAAAAAAACAATTCTAATCTGGAAGGTTCAGAATCCTTCGGTTTCAGCATTGCCTCTTCAGTTCATATCCTGGGTGGGGTGTCAGCATAAGCTTTCGAATTTAAATTTTCAATCTTAATTGCTGGCTCAGTTTGGCTCAAACATTTAGCCACTATGCCTCTTCGCAATGATGATTATCAAATCCCATCACTATCATGTTTTATGATTTTAAAAGTGCCTTGTGTACTTAATGTGGAAGAGAGGGATAGCCAGGTAACATTTATTTATTGTGCGGTGAACTCCAGTTTTCTTCTCTAAATACCAGGTTGGGTGGTTGATAATTGTCCAAAATAATTTGAACTGATAACAGGGAAGACAAAATTTGAAAATTGTCTTCAAATTACAGCAGGCTGCTAAAAAGGGAAGGACAATAAGGAGCTTGGAGATTTTCGAGTAGCGTGGAAAAATTTTATCAATTTTATGTGGGAGGGTAAAACAAGTCTATTCCAATTATATTTTGTAAAATCAAGTATTTATATTGGTGGTCGCTTATATAGGGCTTTTAGGGCAAATGGAGCGTCATATTAAAAAGTACTGTAACATTGTGTCGAATGTGACTGTATGATAGGTACTCCTGTAATATGTGTACCAGGTTAGGGTTAAGCCTTATTTTATTCCAATTTTCCTTGTTTTAGTTCTATTAAGAGTTCCGGGACTATCTGTGTTAGCCATGTGAATATACCCCCTGCCCATAGGTTCAGCCCTTTTATACAACTTGATGTAAAGTAGGCGAACAAAATTAGTTACCTCCGTATTGGTTCTGGAGCGCCGTACGACCTACAAAAACAGTGGTTCAGAATAGGTTCGATAATTTGAATCTCTGGTGGAGATTTTAACTTTTCCCAGAGTGGGTAGTTGATAAGAGTCTATTGTTTTATCTACTAACATTAGCGGAGTCTTGTCTAATATTTATTTGAGTGTCCTGAAACGAGTGACTGTTTAACAATTCTTATATGTGACTTGGACTGGTTCCCCATATGAATAAGTCATCTTACCCCGTGTATCTCGAAAAATTTCAGTATTTTGCATATTTGTCTTTGAGAGGGCCGAGACTTGTCAATAAAAAACAATGGTTCAGAATAGGTTAATTAATTCGAATCTCTGGTGAAGATTTTAACTTTTCCCAGAGTGGTAGATAAGATTCCTTTGGTTCAACTTTGGTCGAATTTTCTGTCTAATGTTCATCTGAGCTTTCTAGTACGAGTGTCTGGGTAATAATTCTTTTTACGTAATATGTACTGGTTTCCTCTGTATGATGTACCGTATTCATCTTACCCCGTATCTTGAAAAATTCATGTGAGATACGGTTGTTATATGTGTTGTGGGACAAATAGTTTAGGTGTATGAAGGGGGGAATAGGAAAGCTTATTGGATGACTAGATTTATAAACAGTGATTTCCCTATACTCCCTTCCGTAATTTCAAACACCCCCTAATTTTCTGGTGTGACACCATCCTTAATGCTTTAAACCTGAATAAAATTGTATTCAATATGCAGAAAGTGGCTTATATGTTAGGGTCATCATATTTGAAAAAGCAAAATTCCGGACAGTGCATGACTATTTTCATGACCTCCTAGTAAAAAATATGCGCACAGTACTAAATAACAATGTTCTGTATTAGCAGCGTGCACAGTATGATTGCAGATGCAATAAAATTCCGGATTCCGGACATTTGAGAATTTTTTAAATTCTTCCCGGACGCACATTTAAACCCTAAATTCCGGACATGTCCGGAATTTTCTGGCTCAAACCTAAAAGAAAATTGAAATTCTTCCAATACTAATCTTTACCGTTCCATCTTTGATGGTTCGATTTTCCGTTTTGACAAAAGCAAAGAAGGAATGCAGGGTAAAGACAAACAAATATACGGAAAAGCAGACAGAAATATTTAATACCGTGTTTCCCCGATAATAAGATCTACCCTGAAAATAAGACCTAGCCTAAATTTTGAAAATGATTTTAATATAAGCCCTCCCCTTGAAATAGGACTTAGTAAATATCACGAAATTTATTTTTGACCTAGTCGATAGCAAGAAATCTCTCCTACACGTCTTAAATGATTGATAATAATTTATGGTTTGCAGCTATTTTGACTAAAAACGTGCTATTTGTAAGTAAATGAATATCGGTTTTCATATTTTGTATATTAGAAAATCTTGTAATTTTCTACATTTTAATTTTGTTTTTGATAAATGAAAATATAAGACATCCCTGAAAATAATAAGCCCGGATGTTACTTGTCGGGACAAAACTGAAATAACACCCAGTCTCATTTTCGGGGAAACGCGGTACGTGTTGTTGCACATGCCCACTTGCCCCAAATAACACATTGAAGGTTAGAAAAATACACGAAAGATGATTCGGGCGTAAATAATTATGTCAGTATGTGTGTAGTTCGAACACACAATTCCTGCTATATTGTATTGCTGTGCAGTATAAGCTGGTGATTGAATCTGTTAGTGAGTCCTAGACTGTCAGGTTTTTTGTGGATAATTGTAAGACAGAAGGGGCATGTGTTTGCTCACCAATGAGAGAAAAACAAAAATGCGATGCTCAAGTATATGAACACGAAATCCATTACAAAATTTCGCGTCCATAGTTCCACTCCGTCTAGAATAAATTAATAAAAAATGTCGGATATGGGACTTGACTTGATTGATAACAATAACAACAAAATTTTCAAACGATTGTTATGTCCACTACGTGTTCAATAACATATTTATACCAGAAGAAAGGGAAGTCGTTAAAACGGCTTAATCATATGAACCACGGCCTTAGGCGCGGCCGTGTGGCTCATTGGGCTATCGTTAGTTGGCAGGTTCGAATCCCATGCGGGGTAGTTATGTGCGAGAGGATTGCTGGACTCCTCGCCGTCGTAGGGTGGTCCACGTAACCGCTGGTCGGTTACGGCTTCCTCTACCATCAAGTCCATGCTTCCGAAAAACAAATAACTAAAACTAATCCCATACCCGACACGGACTGGTAACCGGACGAGAGGCCGTGGTTCGCCATATGGTTAAGCCGACTTATCGGCTTCCCCCTCCCCTGGGATAAATATGTAAAATCCTAAATCATAATCCCAGAATGTTGATTTTACAAATTGCAAATAAATTTAATGAACACTTTTCCCAAGTGGCACAAACCCTGCTCGACTGTATGCCACAACCAGCTGGCTGTGACAAAAATTACATTTCATATCTTGGGAAGCAAGAATCCTCATCCATGTTTTTAAGGCCAACTACATCATTAGAAATAAAAAATATTATACGCGAAATGAAGCCCAAGTCAAGTTTTGGAATCGATGGTATTCCATTCAAAGTATTGAAACACGTTCCAGAACATATCATTGATATCCTGACATATATATTTAATCTTTCACTATCTAGTGGTTATTCATTGGAAGCTTCAAGACATCTAAAGTTCTTCCTCTATTTAAAAAGGGTAGTGTTTCAGATCTTGGAAATTATAGACCTATTAGTCTTTTACCATCATTTTCTAAGATTCTTGAGAAAATAATGTATAGTAGAATGTCAAACTTCTTTGAAACTAACAATGTTTTCCACTCTCATCAATTTGGTTTCCGCAAGCATCACTCCACTGCTATGGCTGCTAATGTTTTGGTACACAAACTGACCAAGGCCTTTGAAAGCAAACAACATGCAATTGGAATATTTCTTGATATTTCAAAAGCTTTCGACACCATTGACCATTCCATCCTTTTAAGTAAGCTCTATCACTATGGAATTAGAGGCGTCCCATTCAATTGGATCAGGAGCTACCTGCAAGACAGGAAACAAATTGTGCAATATGACAACTCATTCTCTACAAATATTTGTGTCATGAAGCACGGAGTTCCACAAGGATCTTTACTTGGCCCATTATTTTTTCTAGCTTACATTAATGACATGTCCAGGTGTCTGAAATCCTCTGAGTCGATCATGTTTGCTGATGACACTGACTTGATTCTTCATGGGAAAAACCTTGAAGATCTACTCACAGTTGCAAACCAAGAACTAACCAACATTCATAGCTGGATGTTGGTTAACAAATTATCTCTTAATGCTAACAAAACTAAATTTGTATTATTCCACCCAAGCAAGCATAAAAGTGTGAGTTGTTCAAAACCACTACTGCTCAATGACAATGAAATTGAAAGAGTGAAAGAAATAAAATTTCTAGGAGTTATCTTTGATGAAAATCTATCATGGAAATCACAAATGTGCATGTTATTGGTAAAACAAAAAGGAACTTGGCAGTTGCTGCAAAGTATCCCAGTGCGTTAATCAATCAGCTTTACTAGCAATGTTTCAATCTCTACTACTAAGTCATATCCGATATTGTAGCTCAGTCTGGCTCCATGGTAATAAAACACTTGTCTCGAAATTGCAAAGCATTTGTAATAATTTTTTAAGAATTGTCTTTAGGAAAAGTAAACGTGAAAGCGTAAATCATTTCTATAAATCGCTAAATATACTCAAGGTTGAAGACATAATGAAATTTGAAGTATTATCATTAGTTTATGATTTTCATGACAACTCATTGTCAAACTGCTTTGACGACATACTAACCAAAACCACCTCCAATCGAAGAAGTAATTCCAATTTATTTATACCGTTTATGAGTAAATCTGTGAGCCAGCATGCCCTATGCTATAATGGACCTAAGCTATGGAACTCTCTCCCTTGAATTTGAAGTCATTAAAATCCAAAAAATCATTTCAGAAACAAGTTAAGTCGTACTTGGTATCCAAATATTAAAAGTT